TCAGAACAGTGAAACAAATATTAATATCAGTTTTGAAAGTTTGAGTGTTAAAGACACTTTTGGGTTTTTAACTGCTTCATTAGATAAGTTAGTTTCAATGAGTAAGTATGATAATACAGATGAAGAAGATAAAAGTAAATGGTTATTGCGTGAAAACTGGAAAGATAATTTTAGGTTCAGTAGTAAAAATGATGTGATTAAGAGTGAGAAATGTCTAGATTTGTTGACTGATAAAGGTGTTTATCCTTATGACTACATGAATTCATTTGATAAATTTGATGATGAGCAATTACCGAGTAAGGATGATTTTTATAGTCAGTTGAGTGAAGAAGGTATAAGTGTTAACGACTATGAAAGGGCAAAAATTATATGGAAGCATTTCGACATTAAGAATATGGGTGAATACCATGATTTATATTTGAAAACTGATGTATTATTATTGACTGACATTTTCGAAAATTTTAGAGATGTGTGTATGAAATATTATGGATTGGACCCTGCTTATTATTATACATTGCCTAACTTTGCTTTTGATGCTATGCTTAAAATGACTGGTGTAGAGATTGATTTAATATATGACCGTGAAATGTATGAAATGATAGAAGCGGGACTTAGAGGAGGGATGTGTATGGTTTCTACTAAAAAAGTTGAAGCAAATAATAAATACATGGGAGAAGATTATGATAAAAAGAACGAAAGTAGTTATATTAACTATTTAGACGCTAATAATTTGTATGGGTTAAGCATGATACAAAAACTGCCATATAAAAATATAAAATGGGATGATACATTAAAAGAAGAACACATAATTAATTATAAGAATAATAATATTGGATATATTCTAGAAGTGGATTTAGAATATCCTAAAGAATTACACGATTTACACAATGACTATCCAATGGCACCTGAGGTTATGAATGTTAAAGCCAACATGCTGTCAGATAAACAAATTGAAATTTATGAATTTTTAAATCATAAAAAACCTACGGATGAGAAAACAAATAAACTAGTATTGAATTTAAATGATAAAAACAATATGTAATCCATATAAGAACCTTACAATTTTATTTGAAGCAGGGGTTAAAACTTAAGAAAATTCATAGAGCAATTAAATTTGAACAAAAAGAAGTTTTAAAACCGTACATTGAGTTTAATACAGAGAAGAGGAAGAATGCTAGAAATGATTTTGAGAAAGATGTTTATAAATTGATGAACAATGCCATATTTGGAAAAACAATGGAGGATAAGCGAAAACATTTAGACTTTGAAGTTGTGAGTGATGAAACTAGATATATGAAGTGTGTAAGTAATCCTAACTTCAAACATAGTCATATCATTAATGAGAATTTGGCTGGAGTTGAAAAGCAATATACAAAGTTGAAACTAGACAAACCTATATTTATTGGGATGAGTATTTTAGATTTGAGTAAGCAACACATGTATAATTTTTATTATGACTTTATGAAACCTAAATATGGAGATAATATTAAAATGGTATATACTGATACTGATAGTTTTGTATTTCATACTAAAACCAATGACATTTACGAAGACCTGAATACAATTAAAAAATAAATATATTTTTCAGATTATCCTAAGGAACATAAATGTTATGATGAGAATAACAAGAAAGTATTAGGTAAATTTAAGGATGAATTAAAAAGTAAAATAATAACAGGGTTTATAGCCCTTCGTCCTAAATGCTACGCTTACTCAGTTTATGGTGATGAAATAGAATATAAGAAATGTAAGGGCATAGCAAAAGGCACAGTAAGACGTCAAATGAAATATGAAGAGTTTGAGACGGTTTTAAAAACTAATGAGGTTATACATAAGTCATTTAATAGTATTAGAAGTAAAAAACACATAATTTTTAGTATAACAACTAAAAAAATGCTCTTAGTAGTTATGAAAACAAAAAATATTGGATAAATAATATAAACTCACTTGCTTACGGCCATTATAAAATAAATTCTTTGAAACCGACTTAAAAATATTGACTTAATATATTAAGATAGAAATGAGTGATACAGAAAGTGAATATGGTGAATATAGTGATGTAGAAAGTGTGTATAGTGAATTTAGTGATACTGTCCATGAAGATATTGATGTTAAAAATATATTGAAACAAAAGTTTATGAATTACAAATGTAAAGACTGTGAGATGCTAAAGTTAACAATTCAACAGGGTTTTATAGATGGTGTTAGTAATGATATTTGTCAATATATGATATGCGCTAATTGTAATAGAATTATAAACAAAATTGATTATATGAATAACGCAGATTTTGATACTAGAAATGCTGAAACTCTTGATGATGATTTAGAAATATTTGTGTTTATTGAAATGAATAGGTTCTATACTGAAAAAGAATATGATAATGTATTGAATAATGGATATGTGGATGGTTTTATTTATAAGTATTATAGAATGGTAAAAAGATTATACAATATGTCTTTTAGCATTAAACTTTTAAAATACGAAGCATTGAATGATAATGGCTTTGATTTTTTAAATGAGTTTATAAGTTATAAGTATAAAGCTCTTGAACTTAGATATACGGCAAGACTTGCAATTAGTGTATTGAAGGCGTTTGTAAAAGAAATAGGAAATAATATTTATAATCGAAAAACAGCTGATAAAATAGTGAAACGAATTGAAAGATAATTTTAAAATTAATTAGAAATAGAGTTGAACTCATACTATAAGAATAACATGTAAATATTATATGTTGTAATTATAGTTTGTTTCTTTTTTTCTTATTGCCTTAAAAATGACTTAAAGAAATAGTGCCTTAATATAATAAGAGGAAAATGAACGGTGATGAAATCAATAATTATATCAATAAAAAATGCTATGATTGTTGTCACTTCAAAAAAGAAAATATGGAATTGTATAAATTAAATTTACCTAATGGAATAATAAATAATATTATTTATTATGCTTTGGGTAAAGAAGATTTATGTAAAATTTGTAGAAATTGGAGGTTTCATCAACAAATAGTTGAAAATCATTTAGATATTAAAATGTTTAATGAAAGAAATGTAGAAGATGACATCTTAATATTTCTAACTGTGTATAAAATACCACCTTATAGTTATGTTAGAGCATTTCTGAAAATCAGTGAGAAAAAGTACGAAATGATAGACCGCATATTATGGATGTTGGTTTATCGTCAAAAGGAAGGAGAAGATGTTAAAGAAAATATCAAATTATTTATTGAAAGTAAAAAGTTTAATATTCAAAATACATTGAGAGATATTAATATTATTTTTAAAATGATGTATGAAAGAAGTAAGACAAATCAATTAAATTATTTTCCTGTACTGAAATTATAATCATAATATAATAATAACATGTAAAATCTTATATGTTATAATTATATTGAACTTATGGTTTGTTTCTTAATTTTACTTAATGCCTTAAAAATGACTTAAAGAAATAGTGCCTTAATATAATAAGAGGAAAATGAACGGTGATAAAATCAAATCTTACATCAATAAAAAAATGCTATGATTGTTGTCACTTCAAAAAAGAAAATATGGAATTGTATAAATTGAATTTACCTAATGAAATAGTGAATAATATTATTAATTATTCAATGGATGAAAAAGACGAATGTGAAAATTGTCAGGAATGGAGAGATAATCAATTTTTAATCAAATGTTTGTTGAGAAGAAAAGGAAGACACCATATAAATGTAGAAGATGAGATTTTAATATTTCTAACTGTAAATAAAATACCACCTTACGATTATGTTAAACAGTTTCTTAAAATCAGTAAGACAAAATATGACATGATTTATGATATATTTTGGATGTTGGGCTATAGTCAAGAGAAAGGGGAAGATGTTAAACAAAATATCAAATTATTTATTGAAAGTAAAAAGTTTAATATTCAAAATACATTGAGAGATATTAATATTATTTTTAAAATGATGTATGAAAGAAATAAGACAAATCAATTAAATTATTATCCTGTATGAAATTATAATCATACTATAATAATAACATGTAAAATCTTATATGTTATAATTATACTGAACTTATGGTTTGTAAAGATTGAAATATTTTATTTTTTCTTGATTTGCTTGACTCTTTCAAAGTGCGTTGTTTGAACTTGGTATGCTCTTTTGATTTTTTCGTGCTTTGGCTGTTTGTTTTTAATTTGTTTGATACTCTTCTGATATTTTTTGTTGGTATGTTGCTTTGAAATTTGTTGATGTGTGTGTTTGAGCTTGTGTTCTTTGATGGTTTTTATTTTTGCTGTTTTGTTGGTATGCTTGTTTGAATTATTTAATTTTGTATGCTGTGATTAAATATTTTTGTTGGTGGTTGTGATTATTTATTTTGTTTGCTTGTTGTTCTGGTTTTTGTTTTCTGTTTGTTGTGTTGCTGATGGAGAAAAATAGTAAAAGTAGAATTCCTAGAATTATCCTTTTACTATTTTTTCCCCCCGGATTTTCCATGTTAGTAGGTGGTTTTAAACATGTGGGGCATGGCTATGAATTTTGATGAGTTTCCCTCCAAAAACATGGTTGGTGGATATAAATCTTCCGAAATGATGTCCACCCACCAGGTCCCTGATCAAAAATGACACACATCCTGGACAAACGTGCTCGCAAAAAGAAAAAGAACAGCTCCCAACCTCTGTGCCCACTTTAGACAGTTCTACTTCAGGCTCTCCTTTTTTGGCTGAGAGTGAGGCCAAAAAGAAAGCTGTATATATACCCAGAGTCTCCATGACCCCTAGAAAAAGTGGTCACAACGCCTTAATTTTGGGTAATGACCAACAATTTTTACAGGGTCATGGAGACTCCAGGTGAAAAAAGCCCTGCAGGTCAATCCGTTTTTTTTTGGAGACCGGGGTGTTGGTGGGGATGTGATTTTAGCATGAAAAATGCCACACAACACTGTGTTTTACTGTGTTGCGCGAGAACTACATCCCAGGGAGCACCCCTTCTGTTTTGTTTTCCTCCGCTCGAAAAGTCTTCCCGCAGGCTCGGAGTGGGAGGTGCTGGAGTGGTTGCTGTCATCTCCAGAGATTGACAAGATTCGGACCCTGGATATGGAGGTGCGGAGAGCACGGAACCAGAGCCTCACAAAAATCCAACTTACAACATGGGGTATTGCCCCCCAAAAATATGGTTGGTGGATTCTCTTTCTGTATGGTTAGTTGGAGGTTTCAGGTCTAGGAAGCTTCTTAGGGAAAGTTGTGTGGGTTTTGTTGGGGAGAAAACCGTTTCTGAGGGGAAAAGTGGGGGAACCGTTTCTGTGCCCTTTTTGTATGGGTTGAGGGTCCAGGTCTAGGAAGAAGCCGTTTCTGAGGTCTCCTCCAAAAGCATGATAGATACCGGGAAAAAAGGGGTGCGAGCCCTTTGATCGTTGGTCCGGGCGCTGGCGCCAAGCTGAAAGGCCTTCAGCTTGGGGTCCCTTGAGCTCAGCGCGGAGCCCTGGAGCCCTCCGCGGCCTGGAGGGCTCCAGTTGAGCCAGGGGCGATGTTACTGTGAATGGTTGCGAGATCCATTTCGCACCAAGGAACCATGGTTGAGACCATTGTTCGTTGGTAGAGGGGAATCATTTCAGGATTTTTTAGGGTGGTGCGAAATGGATTTCGCAACCATCCAGAGTAGAGGTTCCTGCCTGCTTTGGCATAGCCTTCCCGCGGGGGTCACTTGGGATGTGACTTACAGCCTGCAAGTGTTCAGAAGTTTCTCGAAATGGTGGACCTGGAAATATGTCAAGATGAAGTTTAAAGGAAGCCATTGCCATAAACCACAATCTTGAGCACCACCCCACAAAGGGCAAGCCCTTGTACCTCGGGTCCCTTTTTTTAAATCTCGCCCCGCGTGCTCGCTCGCTGGCTCCTTTGCCGGCAGGTGCACCTGGGCTTCTTGAGCGGCTCGGGCAAGGACTTCGCCCGGTCCTCCATGAAGTCCAAGGATCGCATCGCCTACGACATCGACATCTTGGAGCGCTTGCGGCAGGCGCCGGTTTTCAGCCGACGCTTCACTGGTGTTGGTGGTTTGGAGCCGAACGGGTGTTTTGGTGGTTTTGTAAAAGTGGCTTTTCCTTTTACCCCTAGAACTGCAGGAGACCCCTCTTCAGCTTTTGTGCCAGGCGCCTCTGAGTGAGTCGCCCCAAAGGAAATCTGTGGAAGGTGCCGCGCTTCGAGCGAATCAGCCCCTTGGACGACGCAACGTCTGATTGAATACGTCCCTACAACATGAAACAAAAAGGCCCACGGCTTTTAGAGCGTCTTGTGCACTGGTGCCCTTAGTACTGCTGGGAAGGGGGGTAAAGGAGTGAGGGTGCCTCCTTAGAAGGTACGTAGACCCGGCGGTGTGATGTTTAGGCCTCACTTGGCTAGTCACAAGAGCCACAGTTAAAATCCGTGTAGAAAGGGTGAGCAAGGGATAATCCCAACCACAAATCAAGGGACAATCCCAACCAGAAATTGGTGTGCCCGCCTTTTAGATTGTTTTCAGTGGTTTCGGTGCACTATTTTAACACCACGTTTTGAGTATGACTCTGACAAAACTCCAACCCCCACCCACCCCACCCCCTCCCCACTCCCTCTAACGCTTGGCTTGATAGGAGGAGCCCAGGGTTCCGAATCCATGCCACTTGTCGACTTGCGCACACCCGATCTCACTATGTGGTTCCAGCGATCGGACACTGAGAGGCAATTAGGGGGCCAAAATTGGGGAGGGGGGGGGAGTTGCTTTGATTTGCGGTTTTCTTTGCGTGGCCCTTCAGAAACAGTTTATGGTTTCCTTTTGGTTCTATTTCCGCTTTGCTTTTGGTCGCCCTTTAAAGCCTGTGCGCTCTTGTTGGCTTTCCATGAGAACCATTTGGGGAATGTGTCAAACTGGGGGACCCTCAAAATGGAAGGTTTTTCCGCGGTTTCGCTTTAAACCAACCCTCAAAAGGGTACCGAGCCTCAAAAAGCACACCGATTTATATACGGGCTCCAGTCCATGAAGCTGGCTTGACCGAGCACGAGAGGTTCTGACCTGCACCGGGAGTTCCCTGGAAGTGCTGGCGGAGGGTTGGATGAACGACGGCGAGGGCGGGCCACTCGTCAACATCGGAGCGGGCGGTCAGTGGGGTTCCCTGTACGAACAAATGATGCGGCAAAAAGACACTTTGAGTCATGTTAAAACGCATGTCCAGAGTGGACTGGGTGTTTTTTTCCATGTCGCAACTGGGTGTTTTGTTCGCTGGTGCCAATTCAGTTGGACCTCTGGGGAACATTGGGGAGGCCCCAAAAGGGGAACCCCTGGGTTTCATTCTATCTTGGGCTAGTCAAAAAGTGGAACCCTGCGGGTACCTTTTCCAGTTCCAGTTGCCACTGTAACTATTGAAAAGACAAGTCTTATCCAGACAAAGCGTGAACAGTCCTCACGTTTCCCGAGCGAATGAACGGAGAGAATGGGCGTTACATCCTCAACTTGGAGTTGTCTTTGGTAGCGGGTTAACGGTCATTCCAATCCTGCCACAAACCACCTAGCTCTAGAGTCTTTGCAAACCCATTTTTCAATCCTCGCATTCATGCGTCTCTAAAGCCATTTTATATATATATTCATATCTATCTCATTCCCTTCATCTTTATCTCGCCCACACGTTCAGTATTGATGACGAGATACAGCCTCTCTTCGTTCGGGAAAGACTTGCAGGAAATGGAGTGACCGAGCCCATCTCTTCATCCATCATTGACATCCAGAAATTACACTAGAACAAAGGTAAGGTTGGATGATGAAGAGATGGAAAGGGGAGAGTGAATGACATTGGGACAGAGAAACAAGCCTGTCCTCTAATCACTCATGGACAAGTCTTTGTTCCTCTTGGTTTTGCATGATGGTTCCTGTGATTACCATAGACTGGAAGCACTGGGTTTGGTTTCCCTTCCACTCGCAAAAAGGCACATGCCACGTGCTTGCAGATACCAATATTGTAGGTTACCAGGAGAACTATCATGTATATGAGGCTAGAGGCTCACAAAGGCCCTTGCTACCTAGATATATATGTTGTTCGTTGGTATTCCTCCGCCTTTAAACACTTCTTCCACTGGCTTTTGCTAACTGTTGAAAACACATGGTCGAACTAGGTATTGGGTACGACGCAAACCTGCTGGTGTCTCGTTCGCTTTTGGCCGCTTACATCTCCTGATTTGTTCCATGAGTAGGCACGTATAGTGAAAACTGGAGCACAGGGCCATCTAAGATAAATTTGTTACCCCAACCCCTATATCAAGGGTTCAATGGGATATGAAACCATAGACCCACTGTGCACAAGCCATATAACCCCCATTTCTATTGGGTTGTGGTTTGGTGGTAGTGGAAACCACCTTAGAGTCCAGCTTACCCCCCATTTCTGTTGGGTGGTGGTGGTTTGGGGGTGGAAACCACCCTAGAGTGCAGCCTTGCAGCTCCCGCCAACAAAAAAACACGGCCCTTCGCCCCGCTCAGGAAGTGCGGCGGCAGGTGCCAGCAGCCAGAGGCCCACGCGGCGGGCGGCTTTCCAATGACTCAGTTTGCCATCAGCCGCCCGGCCGTCTGACAGTTGGGTGGAAACTTCTTTGTTTGGGAAGGACGGGTTGTCCCTTTAAGCTCAACCAACAATCCCAGGATCCCTCCCTGGAAGCTGCTCCCCCCCCCCATGGGCTGAGACCTGGGCTGCGGATGTCTTCGTTTTAAAGCCACGAGGCGAGAGATCGAAACCCACCGGCTGCTTGCTGTTGGGAAGAATCGTTCAATATTTGATCTACCCTTTTAAAATAAGCCCCCAACGGCGTGTATCCCTGCAACTCGGAACCGCTCGGTGCAGCCCCGGACTCGCCCCGCGTGTGCCCGGAACCCTGCATCCCCAGAAAGCCTGTCAAAACCCTACCTCAGAGACGCCCCGGACCACCCCGGAGCCGGCTGTATTTGGGCAAAGACCTGGTAGTTTTCACGGTTTCAGCTGTTTGGGAAACAGTGCTGGAGCAGACCCCAGCTATGTAGCCAGACTACAAAGTGAATATACCTGGTTTCTGGTGGGTGGATTGGTCAATTGGGTGATTGGCTACTTTGCTTAGTTGATTGGCTACTTTACTTAGTTGATTCGCTACTTTGCTTAGTTGATTCGCTACTTTGCTTAGTTGATTGGCTACTTGTAGGAATGAGGCGATGTGAAATGCGACTTCTGATACCGGGCCACAGTTCACGCATGAAGAAGTTGCCGTCGGGAAGGATTGCTTCCAGTAGTATCGGGTGAGTTCTCTTGGTCTCGCAAAGCAAATCCATAAAGCACATGGGGGAAGCTAAAAGTGACCCATGATTAATTATTAATGACTCCAGTTGATTAATGGCGGGTGTCCCTAGAGGGGATTCGTTAAGTTGCTTCAACTAGAGTTTTTGGAGTTGCAACCTTATTAATCCGCCAAGTTGTTCAATGTGGCGAACCCAACATTGTTGACATGCAGAAGACCAAGTTTTGAAGATTGCGCGCCTTCCACGAGTCGCACAGCATTCTGGAGGTTGTTTTGCTGGCATGAGCGTTGAATATGAGCTCGTGGTTGCTAGGGTCGCGACTTATTTCCCAGCACTGCGTTGGAGGCAATCTAGTTTGAGAGTTCTCCCACCACTATCAGGAAAAGGCCGCATACCCTCAAATCCAGGAGCAACTGAGCAAATTCATGCAAGCACAATTGCCCCAGACTTGCATATGTCCACATGTTGGCATGCAGTGTTGCCGTGGCAGTCTGCTGTTGCACCAGCTCACTTGACCATGTTGGCTTCGGGAGAACCCTGAGGGTCCTGTTTTCCCCCAAAGCTACAGCTTTGCGGCCTCTCAGATAGTATCCAGGGAGCCTTTCGGAGCGAAAGGTTGCTGTTGGGGATGCTGGGCGTTTTGCCTGAGCAGCGCCCAAAACATCGCCATTCGAGTGGGTGTCTCTACCTGGTCTACTCCTTTCAGGAAGTCGAATCTTAAGATATGGATGGACGAACTCCATTTCGCACCACCGAAGAAACCCTAAAAATGATTCCCCTGTAAATACCAACAAACTATGGCTTCAAATGGTTTCAAAGTGGTGCGAAGCAGATTTCACGACCATCCACAGTATGACCCAATAGACCACTCAGGCTACGTGCACCCAGACTTGCTGTAAGCTCCAAAAGCTCAACGAGGCGGCCGTTGCAAATCCGGATCCCGGAGCTGTGGTGATGTCAGGGATCGTGTCTGGGACCCCGACATACTGTGGATGGAAAAAATCCTGCACCACTTTGAAACTGTGGAAACCATTAGAGCGTGTTGGTTTTCTAGGGGAATCATCCTTCCTGGTAAAACCCTCGTGGAACCTTGCCTTAGGGCCGCCCCGGACCACCCCGGGGCCGATCTGGGCTGAGACCCCAAAGCTTTCAGCTGCTGGGGGAAAAACGGACGTTTGCGATGTATAACAAAGAGGCGCACGACAGTCAAGACGGGCCGCAGGGTTTCAGTACGTTTTCTTTTCCACGTCTTCGGCCGTTGCATACCACGTTCAAATCGGCCGCCACCTGGCCCTTGCAGTTACCATGACAAAGAGCACGGAATCATGGTTTAGGGCCTGGGGCGGAACGCGACTACATGATGTCCGAATGGTATCCTGCAAATACCAACAATTAATGAATTCGCATGGTTTCAAAGTGGTGCAGGAATTTGTCCATCCACAGTAGCGGGAGGTAAGGCCAACACAAAGGCCAAAATAAGGCGTTGCCGGTCCGGAGGGTCTTTGCTGGAGGTTGATTTGTAGACAGTTCGTTCACTTCACAGACCTTTTGACCTTGCCGCCCAGTTTTGATCCGCAGGTGTGCATCTTGAGGGGCCCTCTGGTGACTCTGGTTGACATCACTTAGGTCTGGAGTTTCGTCCACCAACCACTTGTGAGGCGGTTCCCTTCTGAGATTCATAGCCAAATGAGTGAAGGTTCCGCCTCTTGGAAAATCCGTGAACCAAGGGTATGGTCATGGTGCCAACCCCTCACTAACAAGGCCTTCGCACAGCCCGGAGGGCTTAGCTACAACTGTGACACGTGCCTCGCCATTTTCCTTCTTGGATTTTTGTTTGCTTATTTCTTAGGAAAGTCTGCTTTCTGGGATGGGACTGGGACTTTTTGTCAGTTCTCGATCTGTTGATTCTTGATCCTTGATCGAGGGGCCCGCACACCGACCTCATGAGAGGTTCAGTGAGTGGGCGGAGTGGGCTGCGCAATATCCCTAGCGGATGCTAAGCAGTCGTTGCAGCGCACCCAACAATTTGCTCAGTCGCAGTTTGGCGCTGTGCAGACCCTTCCAACGCTTCCAGTCACTAGGATAGGTAGCTCTATCCATGGTTAAACCCAGAGGTAGAAAGCCCTGTGCCTTTGGCCTGCCTGGAACCGGGAGCCAACTGCTCCCTTCCTAGGAATCTGGTTCCGAGCCTTTTTGGCGGGTTGGGCATCTCCCCATATGCTGGTTGGCAAGCAATTAGGGTATGTCACCAGGGCAAACCATCCATGGTAGAATCTCGGGCCACGAATTCGTTGCTATGGTGGTGCTCCCTCCCGGAGTTTCTGGACTTGCTGGGGAAGACCATTTTCCCTCTCAGACCATTTTCCATGAAGTGGTGACTGGAGCACGGGGTACTGAGCGCATGTTTTGGTTCATCCACGCAGCATGCGCGGTGAACTGTTTCGAATAGCCTGAATGTACTATAATCCATTCGGGTACCAAAGCGACAGTTTGGTCGAGTGGCGGAAAAAGCAAGCGGTTCCGCAGGGCTGTCTTTTTTCGCATGTTTGGTGGCTTAAAACATCGCCCTTTTGGCTCAGGGCAAGGTAAGCTTCCCTGAGTTGTGAATTTTAAGGTGAAAGGGGGGGGGCCGCTAAGCCAGACTTCCACTGGTGCTGCTTCCGGTTACCGCTGTAGAAGGCAATGGAGAGGAAGACACAGAGGAAGCCATCAAAGGCTTTTGGTAAGGAACTCTTTCCTGCAACTTGCGCTTGGGTTATTCCTGAGCTCCGTGGGTGCAACATAAGTCAATGCTTTAGCCGTGGTGTTTTCCATAAAGCGGAAGGTGGATGTGTGTCGTTCCCTTTTTCAATTGAATACCCGGCCAGGGCTCCTTAAAAGATACATTTTGCAACCTTTTGAAACATGGTTCTTTTTCCACCAAAATGAAGGGACACCACCATTCACAAGGCAATGTTCAGGTGTATAATGTAAGGACCCCAATTGTGGAAGTGAGGGGTTCCCCCAAAAGGAAAGCATCGAAAAGCAGTTTTCCAGAACCCTCTTGTCAGCTTCTATGATTGTCGGAGGGACCCTCAACCTACCCATAAAAAGGGAATTTACCTCAGAATGTTGGGGCAATCACCAACTTGTAAGGGAGTTTTGAGGGTCCATGTATTTGTTATGTTCCTGTGGATTGTAAGGGAATCTATCACTGGAACTGCTTGTTTTTTGTTTGAAGGACTTGAGCAAATGGAGGTGACTTTCCCACTGTGGTACATAGGGTGCGTTGTAAACGACTCGAGAGTCTAAGTATGCCACCCCTCGTTATGCCTCAGCAGGTTCGGGGAGTAGAACCAAGGCTCAGGATGCTTGGGGTATAGGAAATCCATTTTGAAACCACCAAGGAATCATTTGATTCCCCTGTAAATACCAACAAAGAATGGTTTCAACCATGGTTTCACAGTGGTGCAGGATTCTGCCCGTTTTGACGCACACAATTGGGTGGCAAAGATCCAATTCTGGTTTTGTCATCCCTTTCCCTTACCCACATAAAGGGAATTGTGCCATTTGATTTCGTCCTGGTGCACCCTTTTTCTTTGGCTGAGCCAAAACGGCAAGCCTTCAGAAAAAATAAAGAAGCAAAGGCGTGCCACTGGCAAGTGGACCACATACCCCGAAAACCCACCCCCCGTTTGCCCCAGGTTGCCAATGAACCTGGCTGGTGGCTGGTTTGGGTAATCTTCCTTGAGGGAGCCTCTGATAGGTTTCTTGCGGGTGGGTCTCTTTTTAAAGGTTCCCCGTTTTAGTTTTAAAGGGAAGCCGAAAGTAAACCAATCATTTCTCGGGAAGTTACCCATTATTTAGACAAACTCATCAGTTGGAGGCTGGGGCCAGGGAGGCCTTACCTGGCGTTTTTGTGTTTGGTCGTCTCGGAGGCGTGCGCGTTCATGTTTCTATGAGCTCGGGGAAGCCTAGGCAACACCTTTTGCTTCCATTGCCTTTTTTGGGTGAAAGTAGACACACATTCCTCATTTCGGTAAAGGGTCCCTTTGCTTGTCCAAAGGGATTTCTGCCATCTACTTTTATCACCCTGGTATCCTGCTGCCTGCTAATGTGACTATTCCCCTCAGCTGAGCTTTGTCTAGCCCTGGGGAGACGCAACGGATAGCCCGGCCGCACTCACATCCGGAGCAGATTTGCCCAGAAAAAACCCAAACCGTTTGTTTACCACTACAACTGTCTTCCCGAGCAAGACTACTATCTAGGGCCACGATGAGACCACTATTCTTCGGGGAGTGGCCAGCCATCAATTTGGCATGGATTTCGCCCACAGTAAGATTTGGACCGGGCGAGTGGGTTTTCCTTGGTATTTTTCTCTCCCCCTGACCACTTGGCTTCCTTTGGGGTCCTGGCTCAGGCGATTTGGAACGCGCTCACCAGCGAGGTGGATTCCATGATCACCCAGGGCCCAGAGCTCGACGGACGTTTGGGGGGACCATCGGGGCTACAAGCCAAGCTGTTGGGAGCCCCCAAAAAAGGGCATCGGTCCCCCCCCCCACCCCCCCACCCCACCCCCCCCCCCCAACCCTCACCTAGTTCCGTAGCTAGGGGTTGGGGATGGACCAAGAAAACAGTACTTGTACTTGCTGCCAGGCAACCGTGAACTCAAGTGAGGAGACATTTACAAGTGACCCCCCAAAGTTCCCGATGCTATATATGTTTGCTCCACTTGGTCTTTTTGAACCTGACACCCACACTTGCCCAAATGCTGAAAATCACTCGAATTCCAGCTGATTTGCAGGGTCCCTTTGGGAATTAGGTGCTTTGTTGAAGTGTCTTTTGGGTAATAATTCATAATGTACGCATTTGCCCGTGGCGAGCTCACTGATATGGAGGCAAAGCGGGCAATTTCACCCATGACAAAGGTCCTTTCTTTACTTGATCTCTTGTTTCAGGTGTTCTTGCAAGCAAGAATGCCCGAGAGTAAAGGCTTTTTCCACGCATCGAAATGGTATTATGGCTAGTGGGATCAGTGCTCTGAAGGAAAGCCAAGAAGACTAGGGGCATAAAGTGAAACAAGGGAAACTAGCCCGGGTCCTGATGAATTTCTGTTGCGCCACCATAGAAACTTATGAGACACTTTTTCTTCCCAGTCAGGATGGTACGGTGGATGGACGAAATCCATGTCGCACCGAACAAACCTTGGAATGATTCGATTCCCCTGTAAATGCCAACAAACGTTGGTTCAACCATGGTTTGTGATGCATGCTTCCCAGTAAGTGGTAACTTCCCGTTTTTTGGGGTTACACGGCGTGTATGCAATGCCATGGTTTGTAGGGCGAAGGGATTTCGCGTCCATCCACAGTATGGCTTCGCACTCCTTGGTCCTTAAGCCCCAGGACTCTTAAGTCTTCGGGAGAGTTGGATCAAGGGACTGGAAGTCGAGGAAACTAGAGGAAGCTATCTCAGTTGTCCAAAGCCCACCTTTTGACCTTTTGGTTTTCCTATTTTGGCCCATTTTTAGTAGAGGTGCCAAAAGGTTAACCTTTTAGTTTTGGGTCCTTTGGGCAACTGAGAATTACCTGGTCAATGCCTCTTGAGTCCCCTAAGTCGGCATGTAGCCCAGTACTCTCAGACGTTTTGCCACCAAACCACGCTGAGGTGAAGAAGAAGTGAAGAGGAGGAGTCAGGAACTGGAGGCGAAGATGAAACGGTTCTGTGAAACAAGCAAGCCACTTGAGCCAAGGACAACATCGTGCCGGATTGAAACTCGTCAGAATTTCTGCCATCGCTTCGATGTAACTCACTCGAGCAAGCGCAACGCAGCGAGTCTCGGCTTCGGCGGGTTTTGGAAACGGCAAGCAAGAAGCGTTGATGGAGCGTCCATGCCAGCCACCCTTAGACCTGCTGCATGGCGGCAGGGAATGAGGTTTCGACCTCTGTGAATGAGCAGGGATTCTTTTTTAACAGCTAGGTCCCTCAGAGCACGGCAAGCAAGAAGCGTTGATGGAGCGTCCATGCCAGCCACCCTTAGACCTGCTGCATGGCGGCAGGGAATGAGGTTTCAATGAGCAGGGATTCTTTTTTAACAGCTAGGTCCCTCAGTAGTGCCCTTTGACCAACGTTTTTTGGGGAGGGTTCCCCTACTGAAATAGACTACTGAATGAAAAGGGTATTCTTACTTCTTTTTTTTTACTGGAGGATCTAGATAGGGTTTTCGGCCATTCATCCCAATGCTTGCAGTTTCTTGATGCGGGGTGTCATGAAGGGTTTGCTTGCAAGGTAGTAGTGCCTGATTTGGGTTGCGCGTAGGGATCATGGACGAAGGTCCACTTCAGATGAATAACTCCTTTCTCCCCAAATGCATCAGTGAATTGGTCGTTTCCTGGAATAGGGCTTCATCTTGCAAGGAAGTGCCCAACCCCCCGTTTCTTGATCTAGAGTTCGAAGTCACTTTGAACTGCTTGGTGCATATCTTCAACTAATAGGTGGCAGCCCCACAAGCTTTTGGGACAAGCAGTAGACGTCTTCAATCGCCCATGTCTTTGCGGAACATATGGGTATGGGTCAAAATCAACCCACCAGGAATTGGACCGCAGGTTTGAGTCTTTGGTTCCATTTACCAGGGCAAGCCATCCTCGGTACGCACGGGGTTTTGGTTGTCAGGGGAGGAAAAAATTTGGGCCTACCAAGCTGGAGGCTGGGGGGGGGGGGGGCGGGGGGCAGGGGATGGGGGGTACCAAGCCGAAACTTTGGGGGGATCTTCTGAGAAAGGCTTTGGTTGTTGTTGGTTTGTGTATTTGCTTGCATTCTTGCTTGATTGCTTGCTTGCTTGCTTGCTTGCTTGCTTGCTTGCTTGCATTCTTGCTTGCTTGCATTCTTGCTTGCTTGCTTGCTTGCTTGCTTGGTGTTTGCTTGTTTGCTTGTTTGCGTGTTTGCGTGGTTGCTTGTTTGCTTGTTTGTTTTGTTGTTTGTCCGATTGTTTGTTTGTTTGTTGCGTGTTTGCTTGTTTGCTTGTTTGACTGTTCGCGTGTTTGCTGGTTTGTTTTGTTGCTTGTCCGATTGCTTGTTTGTTTGGTTGCTTGCTTGCTTGCTTGGTGTTTGGCTCTTTGCTTGTTTGCTCGTTTGCGTGTTTGCGTGGTTGCTTGTTTGCTTGTTTGTTTTGTTGTTTGTCCGATTGTTTGTTTGTGTGTTGCTTGTTTGCTTGTTTGCTTGTTTGCTTGTTTGAGTGTTTGCGTGTTTGCTGGTTTGTTTTGTTGCTTGTCCGATTGCTTGTTTGTTCTTTGCTTGTTTGTTTGGTTGCTTGTGTGGTTGCTTGTTTGTTTGTTTGTCCGATTGTTTGTTTGTTTGTTTGTTTGTTTGTTTGTTTGCTTGATTGTTTTTTTGGTTTATTGTTTGCTTGTTTGCTTGTTTGATTGTTTGTTTGTGTGTTGGTTTGTTTGTTGGTTTGTTTGTTTGTTTGCTTGTCCGATTGTTTGTCTGTTGGTTGCTTGTTTGTTTGTCTGTTAGTTTCTTGTTTGTTTGTTTGTAAGCTTGTTTGCTTGTGTTGTTTTTGTCTGTCTGTTTGTTTGTTTGTTTGCTTGTTTGTTTGTGTGTTCGTTTGTTTGTTTGTTTGTTTGTTTGTTTGTTTGTTTGTTTGTTTGTTTGTTTGTTTTTTTGTTTGTTTGTTTGTTTGTTTGGTTGTTTGTCTGCCTGCCTGCCTGCCTGTCTGTTTGTCCGTCTTTGTTTGTTTGTTTGTTTGGTTGATTGTTTGTTTGATTGTTTGTTTGATTGTTTGTTTGGTTGGATTACTTCTTTGTTTGGGTTGTTTGGTTGTGTGTATGCTTGTTTATTCTTTCTGGTTTGTCATCCTGTTTTGCAGACCTCAATAGTGTGCCCCCATCGATACGGTATATCACAACACAAGTCGGGGCCGCCCAATGGGTGGCGATTGAGGTCGGCCCCCTTTGCCCCAAGATGGTCTACTGACTCAAATGTGGGGCAGATTGACACAACAAACAATTTAAACGACACCCAGTTACAAGATTTCAGAGAACCAAAGCTTTTGGCTATGGTTTCTCCTTGTTACCTACTTGAATGGCTTGCCTGGAAGCACTGGGTAGTATAAGCCTATAGCTGTGATGCAGAGCCATTTGAGAGCTTCCTGACACAGAGTACGCAAGCCAATGTCCTTTTGATAGCCACAGGGTGGTTCCCTTGGTTACCTGTACAGGCAAACGGTCCCAAGGTCCAAAGCCGCCAAAGCCACAAACCCCTAAGGCCTTCCCCTGAAGGCTGGGGCCTTATGTGGCCTTTAATTTGAACCTGACTTGGTCTGAAACGGGTGCAAGCCCTTGGCATTTGGCGGGGGTGTCTTTTGAATTTGTTTTTTGTGGTAAGCTGGCCTTCGCTTCTAAAACTGGCAGTAGAAAACCGATGTGTGGTCTGCTAAGTGACCTGCGAATGGCTATGCTGGTGCCATTTGCCAGGCTCTGGGGAGTGCTGGCTAAGTTGCCCTAAGCATGTAGGTTTCCTATTTTCGAGGTCCACATTTTGCTTTAGCATTTGGATGGCTTCTTCCCTAGCGCAGAAGGTCAGAGGGCCGCTTGGCACCCTTTGAGTACCTCGTCCGAAGGTGCTTTAGGGATTTGTGGACGTGTTTTTTTTTTTCAGGTGTACCCTTTGCAGGTTGGTTTAAAGAGAAGCCAGCAGGAACCCCCACCCAATTCTGCAGTTTTTTTCTTTTTGACTCCTCATGTTTTAAGAGCTATCTTGCCTACTGCATTTATTCTTGTGTTTGCATGATTTGCCAGTAGTATCCCACCACCCTTGATCTTGGTGTCATTTGATGTCTGCTATCTGGCCCAGGAGATCGTTAAACGACTCCTTTCCATGCGCGAGCCAAATCAAATCATGGGTTGCGGTTGCTGATCTTGGCAGGCTCTTCCTTTCTTTCGGTCATGGTTTCTGTGCTTTCTTCCTTTGTCTTCTGTATTCCCGCAATACTTGGAATTGAGAATTGTTACAAGGCACAGAACATTGGAAAACGGTAGAGGACTCGCAAAGTAGGCAACGGAAGTGCTGCATGAAGGCAATTTCGACGGTGCTTCATGGGTATTTGTTTTGCTGTTACCCCTTGCCAGTTGGTTTGTACAAATGGAAACCAACAGGACACCTCGTTTGCCTGAAAGGGAATCAACAAGAGAACCCGATAGTCTTCTCGATGGCACCCTCTCTCGGGATTGTGTTGTTTCTGTAAACGCACGGGGGAAACAAATAAAACATGTCGGGGTTATTTTAGAGAAACACGGGGGACAACCCTCTAAGATTCCCATCTTTTGTGAGATTCCCCAGGAAATTCGCCAAAGACCCTCAATTGCCAAGGGTTTGGGCTAACTTGTGGAATGTCCTGGAGATGGTGTCTTAGAAACCCGCCCATGTATTTTAGTTTTGGTCCTGTTCATGTTTGGGGGGCTGCAAAATAAGACAGTGCATTTTTTTGTTCAAAGGTAGGTAGGTAGGTTTTTCCCCTGCCATTTTCCGGGTCTTGGAAGGTCCCGAAGCTGCCATTGGTGCGCCTGCGAGTGGAACATTCCGGGCTCGGCGGCCCAGCAACGGGCGGCGGGGCGGAAGGGGCGGCGGGGGTAGGGGGGGGGAGATCTTGCATTTGCTTGAATAAGTCTTATTTCTCCAGTGAATCGGTCGCTACTGGACATATGTTTTTCTTTCTCTTTTTTTCCCCGGGGTTTATGTAGTTGCTGGTGCTGTTCATGTTTAGGGATGGGTCTGAAATACGCCGCCAGGAATTGACCGCTGGTTTTAGTTCTTGTTTCCATTTCTCAGGGCAACCCATTTTGAGTACCGATTTTTGACCCACACCCAGAGGGTGGCTGCAAAAACAAGCAAGTGTTGTTCTCACATGCCGGGAATTCCCGATTCTCTTCACCAGAAGAGAAGGATCCGTGAAGAGGACAGGGAAGGTTCAAGCCGGGATCACTGGGCTGGGACTAGCTGCCCAATGCCAGGCCGTCGCACTTTTGTATTGTTCTCTTTTCCAAGCCATTATGTCGCTATGAATTTTGGATGGGGAACCACCTCAAAAATGGTTGGCGGACATGAACCAAACGATCAGGGTAAACTATCATGCAACATCTAAACGTGCGAAACGCTAGTTATGTTCTACAGTGGAAGCTGAAAGCACTGGGTTCTTTTGGTGGTGGATGGAACAAAAGTGTTTGACACCCCGAATTTGATTTTTCCTGGGCCACCGCATAGCATTCGGCCTGCCAAAAGCAGACTTGGAACTCATTGCTTCTTTGCAAGGGGCACTTTGCATCGGGTTCCGCTTGTTGCCTCCCTGCAAGCTTGGAGTTTATGAGATTAGTTGGCTATAGAAGGGCCCTTGTTTGTAGAGAGCAAGTATTCTACAGTTTGACACCGTATTATTTTAGCCCAGACCAACAACAACTTCCTGGGCTTCTGGCAACTTCCTGGAAAGAACGGTTGCCATTCTGGTTAGAATATGTATGTGTCAAGTGCCGCGAAAAGCCAACAGGCGAAACGGGGGACGGATGCTCGCCGCAGTCTCGCCGCCCGTTGGAGGTAATGAGACCAACAAGCAAACCTCTGGGTTGTTTCTGCAATGTTATTCAAAACACATTTGTTTCAACATGTTCACTTACATGTCACCGTCCAATAAACACCTGCCAGGGACATGTTCCAACTTTGCCAAGGCAAATCGGCTGCCCCGGAGGAATATGGGAATGATTGGGAATGTTTCAACATTTGAGGGGGGGGGTTCCCCAAAAACACAAGGTCCTTTTAGCAACCCCTTTCAACCAACCTGAAAAAGAGCCCCTCAACAAAAGCACACACACACACAAGGTTGCAAGCACCTTCTAAGGGAGGTACTTTAACCCTTCATCCAAGCATCATACTCACAGGGACGCGGGGACACTCATGGTATGCTTCCTGCAGCGTTTGATGCCCTGTTGGACGCCGTCCTATTGCCAGACTTGGCCTACCTGTTTACCTGTTTGCCATTGTTGTCCTTGATTTCTTTCAGCCAGCGACATAATGGTTGCAGGGATTTGTCCCGTTTCAGCCAGCAAGTTGCCACTTCGGAGCATCGCATCCCGGAAAAACCGGAGGTTCGACACCATCTCCGCCTCGACCTTTGGGAATCAGTTCGTGGGGCGAGTGGCCAACCCCGACGAGGCCGGGAGCCGGCTGGGAGCTGGGGAGAAATGGATCACTTGACCCACTCAGACAGTACCTAGATAGCCAAGTTGCCGCTTTTTTCCGTCACTGTTGCTGGTTTTTTGGGTAAAATGCATAGGAAAAAGCAGCAACTGGCGATCCAGGTAGGATATTCCCATGGTTAACCAGCGTGCGCCCAGTCGCAACCTCGGTGGCGACCTCCAAGTACGAGACCTGAATCAATCGCGCTTCCAAATAGTGACCTGCGGTGTACTGGGCCAAGGCTTCCAGATTCCACTCAAGTAGCCAGTAGGGTTGGGGGAAACATATTGGAGGTGGACTCGCAGACAAAACGGCACGGAAGCATTCCGGGAGGGGAAACATTATCTCCGATAAACTCTGGAGGTAGACTAGTTTGCCCCATGCCTCCCTTGGTCTAGCAGGACCTCATCCACTTCCCAGGTCCCGTCCCGTCCTTTCGGGGTTGAACTGGTGCAGAAGACATGCCCCCTGATTTTCCGGGGCTTCTGTTTGGAGGGAGGCAAAGGCAGAGGCATCTGTTGCGGGGGCTTGTGCCTTTTTGGGTACAGCTAAACCTACAAAGCTGTCGATGCAGTGCATCAAGCCATGGGATTGGTTCGCACGAGGTAGACAGTTGATCCGACCTGGTGAGGCAAAACGCCTGGAGCACCGGGCACGCGCCCGGGTGAGTACGCGAACGCTGCGAAAACCGGCTTGCCTCAAAGGGGGCCCCCTCCCAAGCCCCAACACATTGGGGGAGCAAAAAAGGGCCCCTATCTTTGTCAACCCTCAAAGTTTCATAAGTGGTGCTTTGCCTTTCGTTCCCCCCCCCATGTTGGCGTTCCCTTTGATTTCCCTTTTGTTCCCCCCCGCACCCGAAATGTTGGCGTTCCCTTGGTTTTCCTCTCAAACCAACCCTCAAGCCTGGTACCTGCCGAGAGGTTCTCCTGTTCCACCGCCGCGGCGGCGCCGGCGGAGCCGCCGGCACCCGCAAGGCGCGGGTTGACTCGAGATTCTTATGGTGCACTTCCTGCGAAAAGGAACTCCATGGATCCCAGTTGCCCATAATAGTAGGTAGTGTTTTGGTTTGCGTGTTGTTGTTGTTGTTTTTTGTTGTTCTTGGGGGGTATTATTAGTTTTGTTATTTTAAGTTTTTTTTTTTTTTTTGGGGGGGGGGGGGGTAAGTTTTTTTTGGGGTGTGCGTTGTGTCTTTTTTTTTTTTTTTGGGGGGGGGGAGTTGTTTTGTTCGTTTCTTATATATATACATATATATATATAAAGATATTATTGTGTTTTTTTTTTTAGGGGGTAGCTTTTTTGGGATAATCCATGGTGCCTATGGTCATGGAGAGCCTTAACACATGGTTCATTACCCTAAAAAGAAAGGGGTGGACCCATTTTTGATGCGGGTCAGATTCTTCCGAGACTCCAGGCATAATAGGTAACCCTTCGCTAGCTTCCTTGTGGATCGAACATCATGGTTTTGTTTGAATCTGTCCAATTTGTGACCTGTTACTGAGCCCTTGACCATTGTGATTCGGTCTGCGGTGTGACCGAATTGCCCTGGAGAGGCCATTTGGATTTTTGTATCTTGTCCATACCTAGGACCTTTTGCTCGGTCGGGAGAGGGAGCAAGTCTCAGTTGCGGGTATCCACAGGAAGTTTCCCATGTCCATGTGAGTGTTTGCGAAAATCTGGGGTCCCTAAACAGCTTGGTTTCTTTTGATTTCCCTTTTACCAGCCAAAATGGGGGGTCCGTTCTTAGAGTAACTCCCATTTCGCCATTGCGTGGTCAAAACACCCCTAGGTCGGGATTGCCATGAAGCCCCTGAACTCGGTCACCCGTGTAGGTGACGAGCCTGGGCGACGTCTTGGAGATCGAGGAGAACTTGATGCCCGGGGACGACGGCGTGAAGATCCAGGAGCCGAGCCGCACCTACAAGTCTCCTCAAGGATTTCCTCGCAGTCCTCGGCGTAAAAACGCCCTGCCTTGGACGCAAACGCAAACGACAAGTACCGCAATCGCCCTTGAAACCGGAAACGCCGATAACTTACAGCAAAACGCGGGCAAACGCCCACAACAAAACACAACAAGACGCAAAACGCCTAGATCGCCTAAATCAGCTCGAGAACCAAAACGCCAACGAATTCCTCGGCCTTGGAATCTCCAGGATGTTGACTTACTGGATATTCGGGAAATCGTAGCGCACTATTGCAGAGCTCGCGGCCTTTGACAGATGAAAGGAAGCTTTGCAGGGGTAAACGGCTTGATGCAGCCCACAAGTTTGTCAAAACATGCAACGGCGGTCCAAAGTTGTGCGGTGCAGAAAAAAACGTCCTCATTTTGACCGCAAAACGCCCGCAAATCTCCCGCAATATCCCGCAAACTCCCGCAAATCAGAAGCAGTCGTAGTTTTGAATGATCAAGGCAGGCCATGGCGTTCACTGGCACGTTGGCATTTGTTGCGAGGTGTATTTACTTCGTCTGGCCAATGTGCGACTGAAAACAACACAAATTGTATGTGGCCTCAATTGTAGCTAAACCTCTGGAATTTGGTAAATCGTAGGGGTCTCCTAAAACACCCAGCAATTTCCCGGAGTTTGAAGGTCCAGGTTGTATTCTTTTGGGGATATGAATCACTCACTAAATGACCATGATTCGCGAAACGAGCTCCGCACCTTAGCGGACATGAGCTACGTACCACGCATTCAGTGGGGCAAGTACAAGTACATGGTGGAGCTTATTCACGGGCAGTTTGTGGGCGTGGGCCCAATGTCAGCCGACTGGATTGGTGGGATTGGTTAACCCCCTGGTGCCTCGTGGTGGGGAACCACCCCACGGCAAGAGGGAAGCCGAAAACTTTTAGTGGCTTGGATTCGTGGTTTAACTCGGCGGTTCCCAGCCGTCCCCTTCGGTTTTATATGGTTTATAGTTGGTTTTGTGGTGGTGTGTCCATTTAAACCACGAAATGTGATTCACCCTTAGCAGGGGATCAGATCAGTTTGGACGGCGTTAAGTCATCCCTGGAACACCTCCCCCCCCCCACCAATCCAAACCACCACTGAGTATTTCGAGGGAAGCAGCTCCAAACAACTCCAAACTCCAAGAGGGAAGCTGACAAGACCCTTCCTGGTTTGGATTTCGTGGTTGGGTTTGAACCCCTGGTTCCTTGGTTCCTTTCTTTCTTCGGCCAGAAAAAGTCGCTCAGGACATCATCTACAAGTACATCGACGGGGAGCAGAACCTCCAAGTGCTGCCGGAGCCGGACTTGAACGACGCAGCCTGGAGCCCTCGGGTGCCACGGGTGCGGCGAGTCTCGGGGCCAGAGATTTGTTGGCCAAATGCCAAGGCCGTAGCTCTGGAGACCATCGATTTGTTGGTTTGTCAACAGAAACGACTTAAAAGGCAGGTCAGGGTGGTTTCGCGATTTGTGTTTTTTTCCTCTGACTGATAGATCTTGGATCGTTTGATCTTGCATGGAAAGAAGGCTTAACTTTTGGCGCCAGATAGACCATGGATGTTTTGACATGTTTTGACTGTTTCCGCAACAAGAAAGCCAACATCGTTATTGGAGGGTCCGGAGTGCTGCAGTGAAGGGGTTATGAGGGGTCCCATGACTGGTGCTTCTCCCAAAAGGACACCTTTATTAAATTCAAATATGGGGCTTGGAGTATGATCCTCATTCTTCCGTGGCGTGAATCAGGCTCCAGAACATTGAGACTAATCCTGGCAAGCAAAACAGGTGGTTGGATGAACTATCCAGTGTTCACATGTTCAAGCAACTTTTTGTTGTGCTTGCTAGATTGGGGCTGGAACCAGCAAAACCTAGCTTTTGCAGGGTCGAAGTCTTGCCCGGGGAGTTGAACCCAGTGTTGCAGGAGACATCTAGACAGGTTAGGAGGACGATTCCCCCAACTTTCTGCCCAAGCCTGTCTCTTTGCAGCCTATGGAAGTTGCCGACATGGCGTGGTCAAAGCTGACCATGGATCGTTGCTGGAGTGCATGACGGGTCGGCCGCTTGCAAAGACGCTTCTGATCGCTTCTGATCCTGTGTCTGCTTGGGTCACAATGCCGGGAAGGTCTCGGGAAGGCGCTGGCCATTCGCAACGGTCTCCTTCGTGTGCTCTTGGATGCGCTCCCTTGGATTGCGTGGCTCTGGACGGAATCACTTGCGATCTCCATGGAGCTGATCTCCAGCCAGGTGTGAATGGAGGTACCCCTCGGTTTAGGCGACTAATTACTGAGCCTTACAAGGGCCATCAGGCCAAACAAAGCCATCAAAGGCTTTGCCGGACAGGGGCCCCCTTGATGCGAGGTGGAGAAGCTCAGCCGACCCTCAAAGACTGAGAAACACACAGCTTTTGGCTCTACGTGAATTGATTCACGCTTAGTTTGCTCTTATCGGTGTCTAATCGTCGTGGTGCTTGGTTCCAAACGGCGCATTTGCTTGCTCCGGGTGGATTGTTTCGAAGCATCGCAGTGATTTTGGTTGTATACTTGCATAATATCCAATATTTAATGGCTATCCCATTGCTTCCGGGCAACTCAGTGTAGTAGGTTTCCGGGGGTAGCCCTATGTAAAACAAATGTAATAAGAAACCAGGCCCTGGTTACCTCCAAAGGTGTCGAACCGTTTGGAAGCCCTGGGTATGTTTTGTTCGGACCGCTGAGGTGCAGTCCTTTGTACATAGATCCGAGCCTTGCGCTATCGAGCGCTTCGTCAAGGAGGCTGGCACTGACAGGGGTGGGAGGGACTCTATAAAGGTCATGAGGGATTTCTCCAACAGCACCTTCCGCTTGTGTCTTGTTTTGCGGGTACCCGCTTGGCGTTGGTTCAAAGGAAAACCTAAAAGAAACCATTTTGGGGTTCTCTGTTTACAGGCAATTCCATGGCCCCGGCGATGCAGACTTCATCTGCCAATCCAGAGGGATGGGTTAGCCCAAAATATGTGGTTTACGCCTGCCTTCTCTGTTGAAATCCAAAATGGGGTCCCTCAAAAAAGATAGACATGTACCGCCGGAGGGATGACAGAAGGTCCCTAGTTTGGCAACGTCCTTTTGGAAGGAGCGTAGTGGACTAGCTGGCAGGGTATCTTTTTCTCCCCAGGATGAGTTGGGGCACATGTTTAAATGTTTACGTTGTTGTTGACAGTCAAATGAACGCTTTGTTCGTGGTTTGAAGGAGACACCAAAAGGAAGACCATTCATTTTGGGAGTCTCTTAGAGACACACCATGACTTTAGATGTTGGGCCGAATTCCCCCCAAGCGCGCGACTTGCCTTCTCCGGTTGCATGTTCTCAGCCAGCGAGTGCACGGTTGAGCTTTGAGTTGTCCGATGCAGATGACTTTTTTGGACTCAACAGCTGTACCTGGACACTTAAACAAAGGGAATTCACCGCATAGTTTTGGTGCAAAAACCCATTTGTAAGGGATTCTTGAGAGGGTCCAGGGGACTTTTTGCGTCGCACACAATTTGGTGACTCGAAGAGAAGACGACTTTAGACCGAACGTCAAGCATGGTAGGTGAGGTGGCTACTTGGGAGACCTGGAAGGCAACCACTGCCAGGGCTCCTTGTCCTTAGGAAACCTGTTGTATACTCCTTCAAACCAGCTAGTATAGTGACCACCAGGGAAAACCATTTAAAGTTTTGAGCAGCGATGGAAGCCCTGCGAACACTGGCTCACTTATCCGGAGCGAATCGACCTGTTCACCTTTTTGGTTTCCCCTTTTTGAGTCCCCATTTTTAGTGGAATCCAAAGTTGATCGCCTTTCATTTCTGGGTTTTTACATGGCAACTGAGAATGAGGCCCGAAACTGCCAACAGGAAACCCTCCCAAACCACAATCCAAACCCCCAAACCACCCTGCAACACCTCCAAACCGCCAATCCAAAGCACCCTTTTCTTGCTGGTGCTCAGGGAATGACCTCCTCCGGGTGTTGGGACTGCACCGAATGGGCGATTTCCTCAAAGAACGCATCAGAGGTTTTTTGTTTATCCGCGGGCATGACCTGTCGCGACTCCGCAGGCGGTGGAGTCCACCAACCAGGCGAAGAGTGGGGGGATGCGGGCGAAGAAATCGGGGAACTTTGGGGTTGCAGGGACACACCGGGTGAGGCATCTTTGTGTGTTGGTTTGGGGGGGATGGGAAAACCTGGTTTTCCATGGTAAATACCTCCATTTTAATAGAGGGTCGACATGATACCCTGAAAGGGGGTATGCAAAGCGAGCAAGTTGATTAGCAACAGAATCCGCAGCGGTATGGGTGCAGGCATGTTGATGATGGCCTGCATTGGCTCCCTTTGCCATGGCGGCATCAGAATGGCGTCCGGTCCACTTCTCCGAATGGTTTGGGTCACAGGGTTAACCCCGCTTGCCAACGTTTGCCTGGTGGTTTTCTTTGGGAGTCTCCTCAATTTGGCCCACTGGGCGGCTGTCGGTTCCCTTTAAGATCGCCCGGTTGCTGAGAAGCAACCTATTTTGTACCAGGAGTCCAACCGGGAATAGAGATGTGTTCCAAAAAGACCCCCGTTTAGCCCGGTAACTTCCACAAATTGATCTTTCCACCGTACTGTGGGTGGACAAAATCCTGTACCACTTTGAAACTATGGGAACCATGAGTTTGTTGCTATTTGAAGGGAAAATCATCCTTCCAGGGTTTCTTTGGTGGTGCGAACTGGATTTCGTCCATCCACAGTATGTAACACCAAGACTCTGCTTCCAGACGTGACGTTTCGGTTGGTACCGATCCAACATCTCGGGATTTCTGCATAGGCGGTGCTCAAGGAGAGCCGTGCCGTGGGTGAGGAGGAAATCCGGGTGCAAATCCAGGACCGAATTTTGAAGACACAACTTTTAAAGGGAGCCTATCGATATCACTTCTGGACACATACTTTTCCGGGAGCTTGGGCAAATAGAAGAAGGGAATGTCCTACTTTGGCGCCTGTTGCGACCCGCTTAGTTAGTGTTTCATGTCCACAGTTAATAAGAAGTAAACACAGTTAGACTTGAGACTTAACAATTGGGGATATTATCCACTTACTAAATGGGGCGGTCGTCCAAGTACCCGGTCAAAGACCTGGCTAGTTTGCCTTGTTGAGCCTCACAACTCAAACGGCTTTTAGCCCAGCCTCGGGGGGGGAGGGTCTTTGTTAAACAACAAGTTGCTAGGTCTCCCAGCTAGGTGCCCTTTTACCGGTTCTTCTTTTGGGGGGGGAGGGTCCCCCTACTAAAATGGACTACAGAATAAAGGTACCCTTATTCTAGCCTCTACTGGAGGACCTAGGTTGGGATTTGTTTGGCCAATCCATTCAGGAAGTGAGCAAGGGAGTGGCCATCCAAGTGGGTGTGGGTCAACAAATAAAGCCACCAGGAATTGGACCGCAGGCTTCAGTCTTTAGTTCCATTTACCTTGGTGGCTCCCAGCCATCCGGTTCCTTAGCCTTTTTATCCAATCAGTGTTTAGTGGAAACTATCCGTTTCACCCACTAAAAGAAAGTTAAACTTTTAGCAGGGGATCTGAAATCGGTCAGCCCAGTAAACACGGGGGCCGCTGCAGACTCTAAGGGTTTTTGTATTACACCCTGGGAATGCACTCGCAGGGTATTGACCCCACTTGGGTTCCATCTTCGGTACGCATTGACCCGCAGCCAAGTGGTGAGACCAGGACCGCGCGGAAGTGCTGCGGCAGCAGCGGCTTGCGGCTGCGGCGGCGGGCTCGCTCTCAGGTTGGGGGTGGGGTGGGGGTGGGGTGGGGTTACGTAGCTGGAGTCTCCTTCTGACCCTTCAAAAATGGGTCCATGACCCCTTTATTTTGGGTAAACACCCCAGCTTCAAAGGGTCATGGAGACTCTAGGTTAGTTTCAAAACAGAAATGGACCCTGTCCCTTGTTAATTGAGGGAAAACAAAAGGAAGTTGTTTGGACGATGGCTGTAAACACATGTAAAAAGCATCCAACCTCTGGTTTCCCTTTAAAGGGAACACGGCAGGATGTCGTTTGGATCGAGTATCTTCGAAGGAAACGCATGCACCCCGTCTAATTGTCTAAAACCATCCATCTATACAAGCACTCTTTGGCTTCGCCAAACCCAGTTTCCCATGGCAACCAGCATTATGTCCATCTCTTTGTACTTTGAATCAACCTTGACGTTTAGACAGGCATCCGATTGCCTTCCCCCCTCCCCCCTCCCCCCCCCGCCCCCAAAAGCTTTCGCAGCGCAACCGCCAGGGCCGGCCACAGAGAAGGCGCAGAGCCAGGCCAAGGCAGAGGTGGCCGGGGCACCCAAGCAGGTCGCGCGCCGTGGGGGGGGGGTCAGTCAGGGAATGATGAGCCCGGGTTGGTTGGGTGAATGAACCCGTTTTGGTATGTTGTGGGTTGGATTCCTAAAAATGAGAGCAAAGCCATAGGAACCGGATGGTTTTTCGAGGGGTTATTCTTTTTCTCAGTTAATTCCTGAGAACCAGCAAGTGTGGAGGGGCAAAATCTAGTTCGCAGGGATGGACGAAGCTCTACGAATTGCGCAGATAAACCACTCAGCTGGCGCAGGATTGTGTCCATTCACAGCAGGGACCCGAAGACTGATTAATGATTTGAGGTCTTTGGCCGACCGCCTTTATATGGGGGGTCTTGAGCCAGGCAAATAAATTACCCATGATCTCAAAAAGTCCGCCACCAATCAAACAGGTCCCATCGGGTCGCTCTTCTGAGGGCTTCTCTTACGACTCCCTGGATCGGGTAGGACAGGGTCCTCGACCTTGGAGGTTGGGCCTTATGAAGGTCCGTTAGCGGATCCCGTATTTCCAATTGAATAACAACAGCATTTTTGCAGGTGTGACGGAATGCCATATGATTTGCCCATGTGTTTTTTGCAATTGGTGAATCACCACGTGCTTTTTCATTGTTCATGGGTTGACGATTGCCCAACTTGGAACAGCACGCGGGGGCTTCAGCCGTTACTGTATCGAAGAAACCCAGAAAACATTCTGCGGGAAGCTCGCAACATACCTTTGGGGCTTGGCCTCGTTTCCAGAGCTTCCAACAGTCGGCTCCTTTGCCCCAGCTCGAGTTTTGTGGGTGTGAGTCGAAATTCAACCACCAGGGGACCACAAGTTTTGGTCCATGTGTCCACTTGCCAGGGTTCCATTTCGGGTACCTAGTTTTGACCCGCAGCCTTGTGCTCAGGGCCTGATGGAGGAGTCCGCCTTTGCGGTGGAGGATTCGAGGGGCTTACGAGACCATCGCCACTGCATTTGGCTAACGTCCAGTTGGGAAGACCCCTCGTGGACAATCGACGGAATGGGGACGTGGGATATCTTACTCAGTGGGGTGATCATTAAAACAGGGTTGCTTTGACCCCCCCAACAAGGACAGCAAACAAAAAAAGCAGTTTGCAACCATACCCTCAGACTTGAAGAGTTTTGGACCTGAGAGAATCTTATAACATGGGTGTGTCTTCCACAAGGAACGCCAACCGTTTTTTGGGGTGTGTCCGATATGCCCCCTATATTAAGACAAGCCCATCTCCCACTCATTTACTTTTGCGGTCCCTTGACTTTCCTGCAGGGCCCCAGAGGTCCTACCCTCTATCAATTTCAAGCACCCGCTTCAGGGAGTTTGTGACGTCGCACTTGTTGATGGTGTCTTTGAATCAAACAAAGCTAGACGAGGTAGTACAAAGTCGACTTAGCAGGCCTCTACCTGAGATTTTTTTTTGTGTGTGTGTGTGTTCTGTTGTGGTTTGTTTTCTGGTTGAGGCGTGCAGTTTGTGTTTCTTGGCTTCTTTCTGCTTTGTTTATGTTCAGGTCTATGAGCTTTTGGCGGTGTCCGGGCGTGTGATCGCGCAGGAGCCACCTCCAACAGCCTTCGAAGCTGAGGCTGGCGCGTGAGGACTTGGCGCACATGGCCATTCTCTTCCATTTGCTGAAGTCAATACTTTGTATTTTCTCCTGTTGGGTTTTGAGGAAATCTATCACCACTAAACACATACTACATATAAGTTTCCAGGAGACTTAAGCAAACGCAGGTTCCGGTTGGTGTTTCAAGGGGCATCCGAAGGGATTGGTGCGCTTCTTGGGTGGCTTTCACCTCCGAATTCCCAAGGGCAACCACCTCTTTGCAACTGAACATTTTCTTGGTAATTCGTCTGCTGTTGGTTTGGCCTCATGAGAAACAGTATAATTGCAGCCCACTTTTTCCCATGTGCTTTGGGGAAGAAGTACTTTTGTCCGGGGATCAGTTGTGCAAAGCGAACCAACGTTTTGATTTGTTGTGAATTGTTGGTCAAGATCCAGAAACGTCATCGCCTCAAGCGCATTGCCAGCTCTTATGGTACAAGCGAGAAAGCTAGTGTAAACACGCGCGTTTGCTGTGTTTATTATACCCCAACCTAGACCGCCGTGCATAGGATCTAAAATCCGCCTCTCCCCTAAACCCCCCTCCCGTTTCCACAAAAAAAGACGCTGGAAAAGGCCTTATTGCCGATCTGCGGACGGTCATCAGGTCGCCTGCCAAGAGTCTACAAGGCTCATGGCAACTCAAACACACATTAGAAAGAAACACAAGGCCCTTATCAAAGCCTTGCTTGGGAAGGGGGGGGGAAGGGTTGGAGCCAGTCGTCCGTCGACGGCGGTTTGCGAGGCCCCGCGGGGCCGTGGCCGTGGCGGGAGAGGCAGAGGACTGAGCTCAGTGAGCAGTGCGCCGGTGTCGGGATGCTCAAACCACGACGGCGTGTCCCAGCCGCTTATCTAAGCTATAAATGTGCTTTGCATGTTGCATGTGTTGAACGATGTTTGTTGGTTGTTTGCAGTTTGGGGGAACGATGGTTTTCCGTTTGTAATTATTGGTCGTAGGTTGCTAGTTGGACCCAATTAACCTTGTGAAATCTTGGAAAGCTGGACAACAACTGTTTTTCCACTGAGTGACAATATAGTTGAACGTTGTGCGCGGGGTGAAAGACCAACCCGGACCAATCACTCAGAAAAGGGGGACACTGACCCCAGAAGGTTCGCCGATGGGGAATGAACCAAGCTCACCCTTGCTAGGGATTCTTCTTAATTACTTCAGGGTTCTAAGGAGGTACTGCGACCCCTTTTGAATCAACAACCTAAAACAACATGGCTGTGGGTCAAAATTTGGTACCAAAATGGAACCCTGGTAAATGGAACCAAAGACTAAATCCTGCGGTCGCCTGGTGGGTTAATTGTGACCCATACCCACGTCCTCAACGGCTACTTGGGCCCGAAGGTGCCGTTTGCAGCAACGCTAGGAGGTGCAAGGGGCGGAAGAGGCGTGGCCGGGCAGTGTGGAGAGGTGTGGAGGAGGCACCCAAATTGAACACACATGGCACCCAAAAACGGTTTAAAACCCCTTTTTTTCTTCGATGTAATTCAGATATTCCACATATGTTCTACATATTATACATATATATATATATATCTTTGACCATGCTTCCTGGGAGCCCAAGCCCTTGAAGGATCCCGAGGCCCCCCTATGAACGGACGAGCCTGAACCTCAAAATTATGCGTCCTTAAAGCTGGGTGGGTCGGTCTTTGGGGCCGGATGCCTGGTCATGACTGCCCAAACCATTTGGGTCAGCTCAAGCCCCAATGGGAAGCATCAGACTCGAGGGTGGTATCACTTCCTGAGTTTCTGGACTTCACTCGCTATTTAGGGGGTTCACCATGCTAGGGGTAAAACAAATCAGACTTTGGGCAGCCAGGAAGGCCACAGGATGACTCCAGGAAGGCCACAGGATGACTCCTGTCCTACCTGTTGGGGGGACTTGCTAACCAGCGATATCAGCCACTGGACGGTCAAATTTCTGCAGGTCGGTCCAAGCGCTCTCTGGAAGATGTGGACTTCCCGCCCCCCAAGCAGCCGCGCAACAGCCAGCGCCAGGACACTTCCCGTGCGGCAGCTGCTATTGTGCTCCAACAACATGTCTGGACATGGCTGGCCTTTAGCGTTTCATTGTTTGCCCCTTGTCGACTTTCCTTCATGTTCCTCTTCAACCAGAAAAACGTTAGCTGCTTGAAGGGTCTTTTTAAGTCTGGCCCACTATTTGACAGGGGGATGACGTGGGCGCGCGCCAACTCACCGGGAAATGTGGTGCGCGAGCTCCACCATCCGCAAGCGATCGACCACAGCTGTGATCCAAAAGGGCACCTATAAAATTCTCAAAGGTCTCTACCAAAGCTTTGGTCTCAGGTCGTATTGCTTGTCCTTTCTCGGCTGCGTGTCTTTTGCTGGAAGTTGGTACCCGCTTTGGGTGTTCGAAAGGGGGAACAAAGAGAACCCACATTTCTCCCCCCCACCCCAGCACCATTTGGAGACAAGACAAACCCATGTTGCCTTGGCTGCTCCTTGGTTTTGCCAGAATAGCAATCTACCCTGTTGGAAAGTGAATTTCCCCCACTAAGTGCGAAAGGAGGTATTACTTTTTGCGGGCCTTTGCTCTGTGACGAACACAACATCAACACTCTGGTTCCAAGAAGGTGTCAAAGGTGGCTGTTCGCCGCAACCATTGCTTCCATTTTCCGCAATAGCAAGTAAGCAAGGGAAACCGTTATGTGCATCCTAGAGCTGGAAATCCGTGGATGCCTCCACTAGACTGGGAGTGCCTGGGTGCTGGGCGGGGTGTGCAAGCAAGTAGACATGTACATGAGGCCGGATGTTCGGGGACCCCATTTACCCCCCCGTCTTCCCCCGACAAATAGCATTATCAAAGATCCACCGAGCGAATTTGGGGCAAAAACAGCCTCGTCAAGGCAACATGACATGGGTTTGGAGGTGTGATTGCGTTTCCTTGTTCTTTCTTTTTTTTTTTGGGGGGGGGGCGGGAGCGGGAGGTACATGTCTTATTCCAGGTCGGTGAATTGTTGTCAATTGGATGTGCTAAAGGAGTCAACTAACCAACCTTTCGTTGCATAATCAGAAAAAGTGCTCATTTCACCCAGATAGACTTCAACTATGCTTTCATGACTTAGGATGACCTGGTTGATAAGTCTCCTAAGGGCAATGTACCCCACATAGAACCCACTTAGGCGACTCGATGGACCAGATCTTTTTCCATTTACTAAATGGGGTGGTCATCCAAGCACCTTGGATCCTCCCGAAGCATCAAAGCATAATTTGGCATCATTCGGCCTTGTACACCTTGAGTTCCGATCCCCTAGGTTACATCCCCAGAAAGCGCACTAAAGCAACAATATGGCCATGGGTCACAAGCTATGCCGATCCCATTTTGGGGCGGATGAACACCCATGTACCACCTATTTTGATGTTCACCATAAAGGACAGGGTTTTGATCCACAGCCATATTTCGATTCCACCTGAGAAACCCTGGAGTGATGATTCGCCTGTAAATACCAACAAACAATGGTTTCCCATGATGTCTTAGGTGGTGCGAAATGGATTTTGTCCATCAGTATTTTGACTGAATGTGGGGCTCAAATACTTGGCTGCTTGGGTTGGATCTTTAGACTTTAACTTTTTGGGAAATAAAGGTGTTTTCCACTAAACCCCCCAAAAGTTAAACTTTTTGCAGGGGGGGCAACAGCAACCAAGAATAAAGAGCCTCGCAGGACTCCCAGCGCGCGCTCTTCGCCCCTGCCGCCTCGGCCCCCGCCGCCGCCGCCGCCTCCGCGGCCCCCGCCGCGGCCGCGGCGTCGCCCACGCCGTTCCTCTCGCGGCGCGCGGTGGGCGCGGTGCCGCAGCTCGGACGAGCAGCTTCCCGCACAGCCGATGCACGAAATCCGCTTTCCGCACCACGCAAGCCATGCTTGCAATCATAACGTTTGTTGGTACTTGCGTTAGGGAATCGAATCATGTAAGGGTTTCTGAACGGTGGTGCGAAGCGGATTTTGTCCACCCACAGTCTCCCAAAACGGAAGCTGCGGGTTTCCTCGGGTGGAGCAATTTTATTCCAAACCAGACCTCCGGTGCCTGTTTTATCCTTGTTGGCCAAATTGTGTGGTTTGGATGGAAACTTCAACATGATCCAGCTGTTTGGTTGTTCCCAAGAAGAAGTCCTGTTGTGTTTTTGATTGTTTGGAGTAGCCAGAAAATGGATTGCTGGCAAACGCTGGTAAACCATGGATGAACAACCTACCCCAGCCCCCCCCCCCGATGGCCGGTAATTGGCGTCCCGGGTGAATTGCCGGCAATTGACCAGCACTTGCTTAAAAATGGTTTTGTAGTCACATAGATGTTTTTGCCATCATCAAAGTGCAGTGAAAAGTCACTTTTGTTGAAACGTCGCTTCAGGATACTAGAGGGGATCCAATTGAGGGGTTGGGCTGGCATGTATGATCATTGCACATGCAACGCGCGGGGGGAGGGGGGGCGACACGCTGGTGACACGCTCATATCCCAAAAAAGTGATCGTTCAACGTACATGTGCCGGCAATTACCCCCCGACACGCCGTGACACGCCGTGACACGCTCCTCAAGAGCCCCTCTCAAACTTGCTGCTCTCCCCTTTCCTCTGCAGCCCCATTCCAAAGGACCCTGAAAGGTCACTTGTATCATTGCACAAATTGCACTAAGTACAAATGAGTGATACTTGATAGCAAATGGCTGTTGCAGTCACTTAGACATAAAGCGACATCCTTTTGCCCAAAATCGATGTGCCGGCAATTGGCCAGCCATTGGGGGGTGCTGGGGCCTGGTTTCTCAAATCGCCTTCTTTTATGATTGCATGTTGGTTCGTCGGAAGTGATCAAGATCTGTTTTGGGAAAGCTGGTGCCACACAAACTGACGCAAGTTGAGTCGGCAAAGGTCAAACACCAACCCACTTTCCCTCCTTCCAAGATAGCACTTGAGGGAACCAGTGATGACGCACACTTTTTGTTTCAAGGACGCCCCAACGGGAATCGGAACAGACCCAAGTAAATGGGACACTCCTCGTTGATCAACCAGGGTCTCTTTGAGCATGTACTTTTTAGAAGGGTTCTGTCAGGTTATCCACATTGGCAGGTGGGCTGGTATTTGGTTCTCTCAGTGTGTGCTTGCAAACAACCCTTGAAAACCACGAACCATCTCACATCGATGCTCTGTATGAGCATGAGGGTGTGTCTTACTATAGGGCCCCAACAAACTTGGTTCCCTTTGACTTCCCCTTTTGCGCCACCCCCAAAATGGGTACCCACACAAAAAGGGAGAGGACAGACATGGCGGCAGAGCTTTGCACCGTGGCAAGGGGTTGAAGTCGCTTGCAATATTTGGGTGTGTCTTTTATTGATGCTCGCTACCCTTCTTGGAGCTTGGTGCAGGGACTCCAAAAATCGAAAAGGCATGGGGTCTGATTCCTTTGAGAGGAACCCATCATGTGTGCCATGACCCTTTAAACATGGGTCTATGCCCCCTTTCTTTTCGAACAATGATCCCATTCTTGAAGGGTCGGAAAAAATGGGTAGTTCTTTCGTGTCCAATTGCCGCCCTTCTTCGCCCTTCACCGCTCGAGGAACTTGGGCGGCGACTCCCTGGGCTTCGAAGACACCCCGGGACCTGCCAACTCGCAACGGAGTCAGGCGCCCAAGCGGCAGTGGGCCCTGAAGCAAAGCTGAGCCCTGGCGGACCCGAGACGTGGTGGTCCAACCTCACCCAACCCAGGGACCACCGGTACTGCTCACTGACTCATTGCGGTGGAAACCACAAGAAGTCCGGCTGTTTTCTCCCAACCTGTGTCATTCTGGTTGCATGTTTGTGAGTTGTGGCTGCAATTCACGTTTTTGGTTGGTTGCGCTTTGGGTATTTTGCACCACTTTGGCTCGATGTTGTAAAAGTTTAGTTGGTTGCTTCCAAGTGCCTTGGACCTCAACGACCCTGCAACCCCAAGCGGCTAGCGCATTTGGGACAGGACAACACCTACCAGCTGCATGGGTCACTCTAAAATACGGGGGATGCCCTGACGCGTTGGACCAGCCAAATCGACTCCTCAAAAGATGGGAGCTAAGCTGCGGTACCAACCTCCCCGGAGCTTGTCGCGTTTAGAGTGGCGGGCATCCTCTCAGTGCCTCTTATCCTGGTAATCAATAAAGCTTTGACCAATGAGAAGCATCTCGAGTTCTGGTTCACTAGATGCTCCCCACGCAAACAAGTGCGGGGGGTGGGTGTAATTATTCAACATCTGGCAAACGTAGAGGTACTCTGAGAGTGCCAGTCTCCCAGCCCAATGGTGTACAGGGGAGCGCAGATCGAGAAGTACGAATCGCTAGAGCCTTTGCGGAGTGGAGCTGATCGACTGTCGCTGTGGGCATTCCATTGGAGAAGAAAATGGGGCGCCAGTTTGCACTTGCCTCATGACAAAGGATTTATTCACCTGGTGGATTAAGAGGTGTCTCCGAGAAAAAACAAAAAAAGTAAAGGCTGGCCTTTCAAATGGGACCCCTACTCATACAACCAGGGTTCCCAGAATCATTGCAAATTTGGGCTCGCAAAGGCTTGTTTGGCGTGTTATGAGTTCTGAGATACTGTGGATGGACAAAATCCTGCACCACTATGAAACCATGGTTGAAGCCATGGTTGTTTGGAGTTTACAGGGCAATTGAATCCTTTCCGTTGGGTTTCTCCAATGGTGCGATTTCCGGATTTCGCGAAGCCATCCACAGTATGATTGCAGGGAACTCGCTTGAGGGCAATGCAGAGATCAAGATCTGATCCTTAGGTGGTGGCCGGCCGGCCGAAGAGATCACTTTGTGGCTCAAGCTTGCGGCAGATAGAGACCTGTCCTGGGGCATTGGGGCATGGCGTTTCGTCCAAGAGAACCTCGTAAGAAGCCCAGTACCATGAATCCGGGCAATTCGGAGCCAAGGAAACCAGCCTTCCACAATTCAAATGAAAATGACTTACTGGCTACCCGCTGGCAAGCGCCTGGGATGTGGGAAAGGTAAGCAATCTAGGAGACACATCAATCTATATCAATCTCCTATGAGTGTGGTGTTGACCATCCCCAGGTGGCAGAATTTGACCTCCGCTCTTCCTCTCTCTGTTTGGCCCCATTTGCCGTTGCGCAAACACGAAGAGAGCAGTGCAGAGACCGAAGCAGCGTCCTGGCCGGGCTTTGCGCAAACCCGGCGCCGCATGGCATCTGTGGAGGAGCCATCTATGACATCAGGGACAAGCCTCCCAAAAGATCCTCGACTGGGCCTTAGTTGGCTCTGGCCGCAGTTCCTCTAGGCCCATTGTTTGTTTGCCATTTTAAGCCCCTTACCCTTGGGAGGGGTCTTCCTTCAGCCTGAAGAAGTGGATCTTTGTAGGGATTGCGTCGAGGAGATCCGAAGCCGTGTGAAAATCGCATTCCTTTGGTCCAGGACTGGGGGGGGGGGGGTATCATAGAAGCGATTTGAGTTGGAACCGTGTCAGTCACGGGCAGGTTTGATTGGCTTGGTTGGAGGTAGGGTGTGATACTACCAGTTGAGGTGTGGTATGTACTACCCTCTCCTTGTAAAAGCGGTATTGTTCATTGTTTGCCTCACCTCCGACTCCGAGCAACCCACCTTGTTAATACACCTTCGAAACAGGGGTGTCAGGGTTGTTGTAGGGAAACATTTTACATTTGTTGCTCATTGTGGTTAAGTGGGACATCCCCGCTTAATTGCTAAAATTTAGATTTTTGCTCCCCTTCCAACGTCAACCAAGGTGCTTCCAGGTGGGGATGTGATCCTCCTGAATCGTTTGAATCACATGGCTGTGGGTCAAAACCAATGGAATCTTATTTTGGGGCAGGTGCACCACCCATTTTAGACCCTATTTTAGTGGGGATTGGGATGTTCACTGGGGGTACGATTTGGATTTTGACCCATGGCCACATCTCCCACCATCTAGGCGATGTGAAAAGGGATGTGCCCAAGGCTTCCTAGCACCTAGCACCTTCTGGCCGGTTCCTGGAGGCTCCACTGTGTTTTTTAGAGACACCCTCCATGTTGGTTTCCTCTTGGCTTCCGTTTTACATTAGACTAAAATCTCATTCAGCACCTGATGCACGCCTTTTGTTGGGCCAAGAATTCGGGGCTTAACGCCGATCGACAAAACCGGCAAGGACTTCATCGCTGGGCTCGCGGCCGCCCATCCCGAGGATGCCGAGGCGTTCTGGTACAAACAAACAAGAAGGATTGCGGGGGGAGCAAACGGATGCGAGCATATTGTTCGGTTAATATTCCGACCTGGTTTCCTTTGGAGGGAATCTTCGGACATGCCCAATTCCCCCGTATCCCCGCTAATTTCCTTTCCAAACTGGGAGGGGGTGATGTCATTTGAGTTCGGGTAGCCTTAAATATGGAAAGGAGTCGTATAGTCAGAATTTGGCTTTTCGGTGTACTCCAGATGTGGGCCAAGTATAGTTCCTAGTCCGTCCAACAACCGTAGTAAGTAACCACGGAAAGCCATCCATGGTAAGGCCTAGGTTAGTTGTAGTGGGAACTGCAAGTGGGTTGGTACCCCGTGCATTTCTCATGGACGAGATTCGACCTAGGTGCTAGGCCATGTTGTTTTTTGCTGGTGGAAGGCGGGGACTCTTTTGGTGACCTACAAGACAGGCAAACGGAGCCGTATATATGATATACCGCTTAAAGGGACTTTCAAAGGAGCCTCGGACTCGGGGAGGAGGAAGGAACGAAGGGAACAAGTCCCTTCCGGATGTCTTTGAGGCTGAATGTCTTTGTTTTCCCCTGGCTTTGACAGGTAGGATGGTATGGTTGCTATAGCTCTCTCGTTTCGTGGGTCTCGCACCGAGGTGGGTAGAACCTGTTAGACCCTGAATGAGACCGTGCTTGCTAGGAGTTTACAAGCCCTGCCCCCCTGCTGTTGGAGGTCCATGATGAAGTGGCAAATAAATCAGGTGGAACATCTTGGGTGAAAGGCCAAAGAGGCAAGTCTGCTCAGTATACTCCGGCGCGACTGGGTGTCCTGAAACAAGAAACCACCTGAGCCACAATCAAAACCGGGTAAGTGAAGGGTACATGAATTTAGGCTGACCATTGTAATCCCAGGCCCGCATTGTGACCTTGTCATTTGCTCACGCCAAGGACTTGGCAGAAGCAGCCGAGGCGGGCCCGAAAGGGCTGGCACCCCTCAGCCTTGGGTCTTTGAGGTCCCGAAATGGGGCACATCCCATGTTTCTTCGGCCCAAGAAGCCACTGCGGTTTTTCACAACTCACTTCTTGAGCTCATGATCTTTGTGCTTGATGAGAAAACCGTTTTAGCGGAAAACTTGAGTTTCGACTTTTTGGGCCAATGCACTCAGTGAGACAAAAGGGGACAAGCCCCAATTGTCCAATGTCTTTTAGGGGAAGCAAGTCATTTTGACCGTAACTTATGTGGATCCGTACGGTCAGCCTTTGCACGGCAGAATATGATCAGTCCAACATATGCCTTCTCTTGTTGTATGCAACCAGTTAGCAACTATGTGAAGCGCAGCATGTGTATATACCTGAGAACTCCGTCGGGCCAAAATAAACGCCTTTGTAATTTTGGACGGGAATGTATGCCGCCACAGCCGCAAAACGCCGTTGACTTTAAGAAACGCCGTCAGTTTGCAAGAACCGCCGTTGGCCCCTAAATGATCCAAATCAGCGCAGGCCTGGGAGCAAAGCGGTCTCAAGAGCAGCATCATGAAGAGCCGAACACAACACAAAACAGACTTTCGCCATCTTGCAAGGCGGCTGTGTTTTATTTGTGACGTCCGGATCCTTCCCTGGTGAAGATTACGTGAAGAACTTCATCAAGAAAGCGCTTGCAATGTGTGGGCTCGAGTTCCGCCGTTGGGACGCGCGTTTCCGCCGTCGGGGCGCAGGTTTCCGCCGGTGCAAGTCGGCAAATTGTGCGGCAAAGCAGATGGGTATTCGAACAAAGTGAACTGATTTTCACCAACACGCACACCCAGCACAAAAGCTGGCAAAGTTGCGAGGTGCGCAGATCTTGCGAAGCAGCCCACGTTAGGCCAAATGCGCACTAACCGTATACAAGGATATCCCCCCCCCCCCGTTCCCCCCCCCCTCCCCGTTCCCCCTCCCCCCTCCGGTCGTTTCCCCTTGGTCTTGGGTTCCTTTGGGGTTCCGCTCGAGGTGCTTTCGCGGCAGAAGATCTCCAGCGTGGCGCGGCTGGTGAAGTTGTCGGACAGCCAGTCGGGGGTCTCAGCTGTCTGGAAGTCAGCGGACGGCACGCTGTTGACGGGTAGGGGGAAAGCTGGATCTCCAGGTGTGTTTTTGTTATGTGTGTTCTTGAGGGAGGCTTGTTGAAGGGTGTGGGGAAACCAAGCGGAAAGCGGCCATTGGGGTTCCAGTTGAGCCACGGGTTGGCTCAACTGGCATTCGGACCCATCGCGGCTGAAGGTGGCAGCGCCTGAACCTGCCCCTGGGCATTGAAGCACTTCTGCGGGAGGCGCAGTGGAAGTCGTGATTTCTCGCGGGCAAGAGCGAAGAGTTTGCCAGGGTCCAAGAGTTCCGTTGGAGATCGTTGGAGTTCGGGTTGTTGTCTTGGATGCGGACTTCGGGTTGTTGTGTTGGATGTCCTTCAATTTCCCACTTGTAGGCAGTAGACACAGGACGAGGGGACCCCCCTCCCCCTAGAATGAAGGACATGTGCAACAAAGCCTCAGTATGACTTTCATCTACCCCTTCGTTGGTAGTTTGGATAGTTTGGGGATTTGAGCCCCACGCCAAACCTAACGTCCAACCCACCAAATTTGTGTCAAGGTGAGACTTGTGTTCCGATTAAACCCGATGTTTCGTGAAGCCGTCTGAGTCGACGCAGGCGGCGGCCGAGGCTTTGGTTGATCCTCCAGGCAGAGAGGGAGATAAACCACGTCCAACATGGAACCTGTTTGCTTTGATGACCACGCCACTTAATACATGGCTAGTATCCACAGTTAATAGATCCCACAAAATGGGCACGAGCGAACTGTGGATATTTGGAACTTGCTACTGTAGTGGGGTGGTCATCCAAGCTGGGGTTCCTGGAAGACGATCCACCCGAAGTCCCAGACGCTTTTGGGTTGAAGCTTGAGGCCAAACAAGACCAAACGAGGTCTTGACCCTTTCAGGGATCAGGATGGTGGTATCTCTGGCTTTCAAGAGGATTCCAAGGCAAACCACCAGGGCAGAAACAAAAAGCCCTGGCCCGTCCCAAGAGCTTATTGGTTGATGTTTTTGGGGGTCAAAGGCCTTCATATGTGAACATAACAGCTTATATGTTCTTGTTTGAGCACCACGAACGCAGTTTTCCCCGTTGTTCTATAGACAACACAAAGGGCTGGAACTGGAGAAAGTTCTCTGGGAAATCGCAGACCGGAATCAGCAAACGTAGACTTGGTGGAGTTATGGAAGCTATAAGACGTAGGTTGTTAAGAGCCTCCTTGCCGCTTCCTTATCTACTTGGTAAATGCAGACCTAAGGGCCTTATCAAACCGTTCGTGAGACAATTCTGAACAGCGGAGATTTTCGTTGTTTGCTATATGTTTCCATTTTTTGTAGGAATCCTTCAAGAGGCAGTCATGGGAAAGCTTGTTTTACGGCTCTGTTCGCTTTAGCGGGGTGCTCTGAAGGCGCGATGCTGACAACTGACACACCCTAATTACAGGAGAAAATACATGTGAAGAATAGAGGTAGCACGCCTATGTTTTGCCTGCTATAGTGAGGTGCCTGGAAGCACTGGTTACGCAAATTCCCGCTACATACTATGACTTGGGAGTGGCCACCTTCATTCTTCTTGCAAGTACCTATGACTCACCATGACTAGACGGACCCGCAACTGGCCCTTAGCCTCAGACTTATAAGCTTTTGGCGTTGAGAGGAATTTATGACGTATCCCGCTAAACGTCTCACCTTCAGCAAGGGATTAAGGAACCACCAAGCTTTAGAGAGGTCCCGTCCGCAGGAGCGGTCGATGATAGCGCAACCAGCACAGCCCCGGCCACGCCCGGAACAGCCACCACGTGTCCTGATGCCGGGCGCACGGCTGACGGATTGCTGTTGGGGGTGCTCCCAGGCAAAAAAGACGCCACAGTGCAACAGGCGTCCCTATATTCTTGGTCCAATTTGGGGGTCGTTTTCAACATCACCTTTCTGCCCATTTAAGGTGAAGGGTGTTCTACAGCAGCTAGAAGAAACGGGCCAGTTGTTCGACGCTTTCCCCCCTTTTGTTTCGTGAGAGCGGAATGCACTGCAAATGGAATCCGCCAAGAAGGGATTCCAATTCTATGTCTGCCGGGGTCACTCGGCTGACCTGGGCTTGTCTGGGCGATTGAAATCGCAACTTCTTGGTGGTCCCTATTCTTCTTTCACGTCCCCCAAGGAGGCAACCAGACTTTGGGTTCGAGCGCTGGGCTCTAGGGACCCTACCCACAACTGGGGCTACTCATTTGAGCGTTTCTCAGCAGGGTGGACCCCTTTTTTTGTTTGGAACTTACAGGGCAACCAAAAGCAGACTGGTTGGGATCATGCGTGAAAGTAGGCTAGGGCGCTCTTGCCGGAAAATTAATGCGGATCTGCTGCCTTTTGTTTAAGGGCTTGGTATATACCACTTGGATTGTCAGTCAAATAGTTGTCCAGTTGCCCAGTGGCACCCTTTTTCCATTTAAGTTCTTACATGGGTTTGGGTGGACCATTTGGGTTTTGATTGTGACGGGCATAATGATTTGTCTTACACAGCTTAGGCGTCATTCGGATTACCAAGCTGACGAAACCCATAAGGGTTCAAATCCGCAGGTGCTTGTTGACCCTAATTCTTCACTTCTCTCACTCGGAGCTCATGTTTTTTGGTTTTTCTGGGAAGCTCATGTCAGCGGTGGAGAACGAGTCCGGGCTTCCCGGACTTGAGATTAGAACCTCGGCTGCTTGGGTTTCGGAACGCAGCTGGGATGCCTGCAGTTGGCTTCAGGAAAGAGCATTGAGCCCATAACGTCCCAGAGCGTTTGATCTTCTTTGGTACCCTCCGCACATGGATTTTGGGAGGTTAGGTGTTGAAGTAGCTGCTTAGAAGGTACCAAGAAACCCTTGGGATTTTGTGCACCCTTCGTTTTCGGGATCCTTGCCCTGGCAAAGACGTTGGAGTCGAAGCCGGAAGGATGTACATGCAGTCTGTCAGACTGTTTCATGTGCCTGGCAAATGGCTTTCGCGCACCTGCAAAGCGTCCAATGTGATCCTGAAATTCGGGAACCAAAAGGAAACCAATCATCTTCGGGGGGTTCTTCCCCCTCTTCGCCAAATCTAGAAGAGTGATAGGGATCTTGGGTTGGACAAGATTGACTCCATCAAAGAACGGAACCCAAATACAGGTCTGACCCAATATGTCTGTCTCCACAGATCTGTTGGTGTTGTTGTTTTGTGATGATTGTTTGCTGTTTCCTCTTGCTTTTCATGTGCCTCTAGTCTTCATGTCGTTTGTTTCTATTGGCCCCTCTTGTTGTCAAGTCTCATATCGGCTTTGGTTGTCTCTTCGTTTCATCGCAGCTGGCCAGATCCAGCGTTGCACAGCAGTACCGTCTGCACCTCCAGACGCGTTCCAATCCGTGCGGGATCGCATGTCGCAATGCTGCGATTCCTGGTCACCGTGGTGTCGTCCGCGCTGGCAGAGGACTGCTGGCTTCTACACGTATGCAGCGCTTTCAGTTGCCCCAATGTGTTGTGTGTGTGTGTGCAGGTGTGTGATTTGAGGCTACACCATTTATGTTGGCTGAAGGGAAGCTAACGGCAAGCTGCTCATATTCGGGGTCCAAATCCAGTTGACATACCCATCAACTTATGGTGACAGAGATCCCTTGCGCGTTGCTCGCATGTTTGTTCTTTGCATGTCTGGCATCCCTTTGTTGGCAACCTAGACACCCAGTGGGTTGCTTCCTTTGTTGTCTTTAGGGGTCCCTGTAACATCAACTATCAGGTCACCTTCAGTTGCTGGTTTGGGTGGGTGGTTTGGACTTGGATCAAGGAACCCCTGGTTCTTGTGGCTAAATGGGGTTTGCCAATCTCATTTCAGCCCCAAACCGGGCGGGTGAGGTGAGCATAGTTTGCCCTGCCAAAATGCCCCATGAGTAATATGCTAGGGGGTCTCCTGTGTGTGGTGGGGTTCCCATAGTATGGAAAATCGGATTGGTCTGCCCTCCATTTTGAGCTGCTCCCAGGTTTTGTTTAGTACATGTTTAGTGGGGGCTGAAAATAAAGCAATCCCCTGTTGCCCACTGTTCTCAACTGGCCGGTCTTTTCAGATGCTTTGGTCCAAACACCCTGATGATTGTCCTTAGCGGCGAAACCTCACTGCCTGAGTTTCTGGACTTAAATAGTTTTGTGGGTAAACCACTTTAGTGGTAAACAAACAAATTGGACTTTTTGTTTTACCAATGAACTCAAAATTGATTCTTTTACGACTCAACTCAGGGAGGGAGGTTCGCAAGCAACATGTTAGACTCCCTTCCAAGTAGTCTTCCCGTTTCCTTGAACCTACATGTGCTTCCTAACAGTGGGAACCCGCAAGTGGTTGCTTTCCAGATGCTTACCTTTCCAAACGCACCTACAGTAAAGTGGTTGACGTCCTGTTGTTTTGTGCTTCAAACCCACTGAACATGGTTGGTGTCCTGATGGTTTCCCTTGCAACCGCCACCTGGTTGAAGCAGTTGCTTTCCCGATGTGGGTCTGTCTCTTTTTAGCTTTTCAGAAAAAGTCCATTCGGTTGGTTTTAAGAGGATAATAAAAGGGAAAGACACCCATGTCTCCAATTTTATGAAACACGCCCATTTGATAACCACATAGCCCGCATGAAACCAAGCAATAACAAACAAACAAAAGGAAGACGACACGGGGTGGGCGGCAAAAATCCTGCACCAGGTGCCATTCCTGGCGTAGGATTTTGTTTATCCACAGTAACCTGGATTCTTCAGAACCTTTTAAACATGAGTCCATGACCCCTTTGTTTTGGGAAATGACCCCATTTTTTGAGGGTCATGGAGACAGGAAGAAGCCAACTTGCAGCGAAACGCGTGTTGCCCAATTCAAAGTCCGCAGGACGCCAGTTGCTGGGATGGCGACTTCACCCCGGAGGTCTGCTGCAACCCGAAGTTTGGTCCCAGAGGCACAGGGCGGCGATAGTTCTAGGGGGTCGCTGATGTTCAAGTTCCTTGGGTTACGCAAAAGTTCCCTTTGCAGTGCCTGGACCTTCGAACTATGTACAAAAATGGCAAATGAACCCCGTAGTTGTGGGTCACATAGTGGCCACCAATCAACTGATTCAGATACCGTTTCCATGGCTCCCCTTGTATTGGTATCTGAATTAGTGGAGGTAAGTTTGGGGGTCTCCAAAAGTATATTTGAAGGTGGAACTACGAAACAGAATCTGACCTCTTTCTCTTGGTGAACCCACGAATCAATCTAATCGGAGTCTAGCTTTTTGCATTGTGTCGCTTTCCGTGCCTTTGTTTTTGATAAATGTTCTGTCTCTGAAATTTTGGGTAGATTAGGATCCATATCACGTTCCCGGACATATGGGCGGGGGTGTTGAGCCCACTTTTTGGCCAGGGCAAGAACCTCTCCCAAGTGAGTTCGCTCCGTTGTTTTGTGGGTTATATAGATACATATATATATATATATATATGTATAGATGTAGATACATATCACCTAGGCGATTTCGCGGCTAGTTGTGACCACCTACTCACTGGTTGCCGAACATCACGGAAATTGAGGCCTCCCAAGTGACTCTAGACTGGGCGAAACTAAACAGTTGCTAAGTGGTTAAGTACTGGAGCGGCTCCCCCATGCATGTTACCTTTAAAAGAATCTGTTCGGCATTGCGGACCGAAGCCCTCTCAAGGCAAAGCTGCCTGTGATTTCAACATCCATGAACGTACTTTTGAAATAGAAGTACTGCAAGGAGAAGACCATAGAAGCTTTATGATAAGACAACTTACGGCAATCTCTCTCAACGTCCAGGATTCTTTGTTGCCTTGAGGATTCCCTCAATGAAGGCAAAGGGAGAAAGGCAAATGGCTGCTTTACACAATAAACCCTACTATTTCCATAGATTTCCATAGGTTGTTCCATCTAACGGATCCGATCGGGGCCTTTTTGTGGAGGACCAGGGTTTCCACAACTTGCTGTTAGGGTCTCCTTACATTCCTAGGGTAGATTGCGAGCCGTGGCAAGGGCCATTGCAGCTATCAGGGGCCATTCGGGGCTATTAAACCTTTGCCATGGCTACCCTTGTTTTGGCTCCCAAGTAATATGCGTGTGTTCGTCCGTGAGGGTGCCCTTTTCGGTGTGGTTTAAAGGGGAACAAGAGGAACACGCACTCTTGGGGTGTTCCCCCCTCCCAGGGGGGTCTTTTTGCCACGTTTGGTGGAAAAACCCATTTTGGACGCCAGGCCATGAGGAGTGCTGGGATACGGTGCACACTTTTGAGCGCTGCTGTCCCGAGGACAACCGGGATGGGAGTCCACGCGTGGGGAGGGTTTTGCTTCCATTTCTTTGGGGGTGCATATAACCGCCATTACTTACCTAAAGATTGTCATCATCTAAATTTGGTCAACCTTTGTTTTAATGGGAGTTGAACCCGCGGGGATTTGCCTGGCTCTACAAATGAGGCAGTCGTTGTTTTTTTGTTTGAGGCTCGGTACTCTTTTTGGGCTCATTTGGACACTGAAAGGGGAACCGATGCCATTTTGAGATACATGCGAGCTTCCTGTGGGGTGATGTTCATTGGTTGGAAATCTGGAGAAGCCCATTGGAGTATGTGTACCAGGAAAATGGCTATGAGTCTGAATTAGCAGGCAACCACCTCAACAGTGATTGGACATGAATCCCCAGCTAAATGATCCGGACCCTTCAAGGTTCACACCCAAATTGAGTTGGGCCACGGGTCAATAAAACAAATCTGTGGAAGCAACGCCAGGTTTCAGGCACGCTCCCAACCCACACCTGCCGCCGTTGAATTTTGGAGAAGGTTTTCCAGATTTTGACCTATGGTTGTTGGGGCCGGGGCCAGAGTGGGGTATGTTCATTTTTGGGTGGGGCCTGCACCAATTCCATTTGGTTGATCACCCCAAGGTAGACTTGGACCTGTTTTGCTTGGAGGGAAAGGCGCCCACAGGGTTTAAGCCTACCTTGGATTCAGGGACACTCCTTCAGGCTGACACCAGGGCCACTCACCTATTGCCTTGTGAAGCCGGAACGGACCTAGGGATCCCCCGAACAAAAGGGACGAAAGAAAGACGGTTCAGCTCGGGGTTCCAACTCATTCCCATCGAATCAGTACCCTCCAACATGGAAGCTGAAAGCCTAAAGGAAAGTCGTCCAAAGGCTGGTGGTACCCCCTATAAAAACGGCAATCCTGACAGATTCCGTAGGGAAACATGACAGATGTTCATCTTGGGATCTGAATGAGACACCATGGTAGGTGCACCACCCAGCTTGATCTATTTTAGTGGGGATTGGGATGTTCACTGGGGGCTAACCGGGGTTTTGACCGATTTCATATAGCCAAGGGGAAAAGCCAGCGTTTTTTTTTGCCCATAGGACTGCCGGACCTCCGACACCTTCGACTTCGAGGGCTGCTGCGATCTGGTGTCATCGGACCAGGGCAAAGAGGCGGATGAATTCTGCGGATTCGATTCGAGCGGATTCAGCGAAACTCTCTCGCTCTCTCTCTCTATCTGCCGTTGCGTCTTAAACCGCGTCGATGTGTGAAACATGGCACTCTTGGTGGTGCCCCTCAACTGAAAGGAGTTTCTGCCTCGGCGAAACTCGGCGAAACTCGGGCGGTTGGAAGCCAAGGGTGCAACTCGAGGCTGTGTTTTCTCGTTGAAGTGATTGAATTTTGAGTTTCGAGCCCAAAATGGTGGACATCATGGGGATTCATGGCCACTTGTGAGGTGCCCTGTTGAAAATCATAGATTGAAGAGGGAAACCATTCTCTTTGTTAAAGTTAAAAACAAGGTGCTGCTGGGCAACTGTGAAACATGGGCAAATCGAGCTGTTCCCCCTAAACAAACGAACAAATACAAAGAAAGACATCTGACCCACATCAATACAATCGAAAACAGAACGAGAAACATATGAGAACCATCTCTCGTCAATCTCCCAAAGAGTTGGCTGTCTCCCAAAGAATCAACAAGTAAAGGTTGCTAATAATTTTCCCCATGGCCATTTGATTCTTCGAACCTTCTAAGGGATTCTGAGACTCTGGGGCGGAGGCTGGGGCGGAGGCTGGGGCGGGCAATTCTTGTGGCTGTTTGTTGGGGTTCTTTAGGACCAGAAAGCAGCACGGGCACCATCCATTCTTTGGTGCATGTTGCTTGGATGTTAGGAATTTAACTTTTTGCCAACTAACGAGTTGCCCATTAAACGGCTAAAAATTAAACTTTTAGCAGGGGAGCAGAAAGCAACCGAGCATTTATGTGCTTTATTTTTTACCGCACACCCATGTACCTAAATGCGTTCGGCCAAAACAACACCAAATAAGATGTTCATAGTTCATCCCATAAATCCAGCGCAGCTGTTTCAAAGTGATTGTAGTCTTGAAACAAGCTCCTGTCAGAATAGGACAGTCAGATGATTCCTGGGAACAACTCTGAACATACATGTCGACAGGGGCTCGCAAGCGTCGGCACTCGATTCAGGCGTGCTGGGTGGGAGCCCCTTGGCCGAGAACCAAGAGCGCCTGTGATGTATGCCTATATGGCAAGCTGGGGGCAGTGCGAGCTCACTGCAGGTCTTCAACGAGGGCCTCCTTGATTTCCGCTTTGAGAACAGTAGTTTGCCCAGACATTGGTTCCCTGGAACCCTCGAAATGGGGAGTGCCCAAATAAGGCAAGTGCCAGGATGCATCAGGTTTCGAAGCAGCAGGGCAGCACAGGATACCGGTGCTTCCAGTTAGCACTATAGCTAACCAGGGTTTCTTACCTTTAGGCCTTTAGGTTCATTTACCATGGATGGTTCCGCGGCGAAACTGGAAGCACCGTCAAAGCTCCTCGCTACACCCCCCATGCTTGCCAAATTGCCCCTGCCACATACCCCTTTTTGCAGGACCACTGTACAGTTAGTCTCAGCCCCATCCCCCAAAAAACAACCTGCTAGAAGAGAAACTCAGAGAATCCCCTAAGGTAGATATCGAATCCACCTGGAGTTTCCATGACCCTTCAAAAATGGGTCCATGACCCCTATACTTTGGGCGGGTTTTCCGGACCTCCAACGCCGACCTTCGCTCGCGGACGCCGAGAAGCCTAGGGCCGCAGCTTTCGGAGCTGCTGCTTGGAGTCGGCGCCGGAGCGGCGGCCGCAACTGGCGGGCCCCGACTTCGCCCTGGAAGCGCTGCCGGTCTTCGGCGCCTTCGGCGGAGAGTGGGGGTGGGGAAGTTTCGGGCGTGGCGTAAAATGAGGAGCGGGGGGGGAGGGGGAGGGTTGACTTTTTTGGGCATCCCGGTGAAAAGGTAAGGTGAATTTAGAAGGGAGCCATGATTTTGAGCCGCGAATAGGTAAATGTGTCAAATGGGCCAAAAGAGACCGGGTCTTGCGCCTCAAGAGGAACGAGCTCGAATCAGGGGGTCTAGCTTGCATCAAAGGACAATCAATCAGGCCCATTTAGGGTCAGCCAACTCAAAATCGGGGCGGGTTTCCTGGTGCTCCCCTTACTTCTTTTTGTTGTTCGTTTGTTGTTGATTCCCTGGAGAAGTCTGGGGCATTGAGCAGTGCAACTTTGACCAGAGCCAAGGATGGGGAAAGAAGTGGGCGGTTTGTCAAAATGGTTCCCTATGTTTGAGGTTTTAAGGGGACACCAAAAGGAAGCAAGTCCGTTGTAGGGGCTCCGATTTTGAAAACCACCCAAGTAAATTGACAGTGCTGGAAAGTCAAAGAAGTTCGAAGACGCGGCCCAAAGCAATAAATCATCATTGGAGGTTTGAGGATTTGAACCCCTGGTTCTTGTGGAGACTACTTCCACCTTTTCCCTTGTTGGTTTTAAATGGAATCGACTTCACCGGACATATGTTCTCATATTTGTTCCATTTGGGGCGCATCCGAAAATGGGACGACGGCCGCCGGGGGAAACCGCCTGAGCTGCGCGCCAGGCGAGGGCTGCTGGGTGCCCTCGGAGCTGTTGACCTTCGCCCGCTGCTGCGGCACCGCCGGGGTGCGCTTAGACTTTGACGATGACTCGATTTGGCTATGGTTCAAAACCAATGGTACCATTTTGGGATGAGTGCACCACCCATTTTAACGCCTATTTTAGTGGGGATTGGGATGTTCACCCGCTTTGTTGCCACGAAGGCGGGGTATCTCTTCAGGGTTCCCTATATGGATGTGGTATATGGGTGAAACATGAAACCACGGGTATGGGTCAAAAATACAACACCAGGAATTGGACCGCAGGTTTTAGTCCTTGTTTCCATCTGCCAGGGTTCCATTGTGGGTACCTATTATTGACCCACCGCCAAATCGGGGTCCGGGAAAGTAACCGACATATTAATACGCCCCCACCCAATGGCTGTCCAATGGTAAAGTGATCTTTCTTTGGGGGAGGTGTTGGAACGATGCCCCTTCCGCACTGTGGATGGGCAGAATCCTGGAGGGATGGATAAATACTCGGTTACACCACCCAACGGGTGCTGATCTTGCTATTGTGCACAGTTTTGCGAGTAAGCCAACCACACCGACAATCAGAGGAATTTAACATGGATTGATTCCCCACTAAAAGGGCAGCACGGCTCGGTCCTCCGGAAAATCCAAAATTGACATTTATTTGTAAGAGCCTGAATGATTAGTATCTTAGTATGGAACAATGCGTGTATTTCTTCCATGTTGTTTGAGGGATCCGTCGTGGCGGGCGATTGTAGTTGTTTCTTTCCGGCACGGGAGTACAGAATGCATCAGGACCCTCTCAGGCGTGTTTCTGATGGCAGACCGGGAGGAAACTACTTGTTTGGATGGTGAGATTTGGCACACAACGCACCTTGGAGTGCATAACACGTTCCACTGGGAAAAAGATCACTTTTCGCAAGGGATCGAACCATGCAGCTGGCGTTGTTTCGCCTATTTTCTTTGGATACTGGGACCCACCCGTCCCCCCGCTTAGGAAGGAGCACTGCTGGATAGGGGACTTCACCTATACACGCTGCTGCCTCGGGCTGCACTCGATACCCAGGAGCTTTGGGCTTTGGACGTCGCCTTTCTGGGTCCAAACTCTGGGAAAAATGGATGAAGACCCAATTTGGGGTGTTTTTGGGGGGACCCCCGAACTAATGTTTGGTTTTCATTCTGGCTTCCCTGTCAAACCACCGAAAAGTCCTCAACAAAAACGACACACCCACATAGCTCCTTTTTTGGTGGTCGGCCCAGTCAGGTGGAGAGAAACCTAGGTTACCCCTGCAACATGATCCACCCACTTACCCAACATGCAAGTAAGGCTTCTCGGGCATGCCCCATGCCCCTATTAGGGGGCCCAACATCCATCAGAACTCTTAGGATTTAGGGTGAAAGGTATTCTATGCCATGGCCTTTATTTGAAGCGGAAAGAGGGTTGGGGAAGATGGCTGGTATTGTCTATTGACCTCGGAGTATTTGTGTCGGATCTTCTTCCTTTTTTTTCCGGGGCGAACACTCGCGAAAGTGAGGGGATCCGATCCCTCTATGGGTCACCTTGGAGGGAGCACCCCCGAAAAACAATTCATGCATACAAGCATACTGTGGATGGAAGAATTCCATCTCGCACCTCCCAAGAAACCCTGGAATGATGCGATTACCCGGTAAATTCCAAACAAACAATGGTGTCCCATGGTTTGCTGCGAATTCCAACACACACACACACACAATGTTGTCCCATATTTTCAAAGTGGCGCGACGCGGATTTCGCAACCATCCATAGTGGGTCCGGGAGAGTTCCCCCGCCTTTTCAGAAACCTGTCTCGTGTTCGGACCGCTTAGTAAGTAGTAGCTTAGGTAATTTCCCTCCAACTCGGGCAGTGTCCAGCCATACCCGTCGACTTTTAGCTTTTTAGCGGAGGGATGTGTGGCATATCCCACAGCTCATCTTTTGGCAGGGATCAACGAAACACTAAGGCTACTGGGTGGGCTGCTAGCTCAGGTGATTTGTAAGGCTCAAGCTACAACCTGGGTTCCGAACGACCCACTTGCTTGGTCGACCGTGGATGTTGGTTGGCTGCTAGCTTTGCTAGGCGATCTGTAAGGGTTAAGGGTTGCGAATCACCCACTTGGTCGAACACAAATGTTTGGACAGAGCCCGAGGATCTACCTGGACTTGCCCAAAACGGACCTCAGGGTCCACTGCCTGCAGCAGGGCTTGGAGGCTGGGCCAAGCATTTCGGCGGTTTCTGTGGCAACTGAACCAGTCAGGTAACCCGAAACTTGTGGTTTGGATTGGCTCGGATTTGGAGAACTCGTGGGCTTTGAGGGATGGGAATCCCCACGGAACACCTCCAAAGCAATCCAAATCATGCTAGGTTTGGGTTCCTTTTGCAGGGAACTAGACAACGGCCTACTCACACACCACCTCGCTGGAGACCTTTAAGGCGATTTTCCTCTTGGCGGAGGGTGCTTGGATCTTCAACCTTTGACTGCTTGCGAAAATGACAGATCATTTTCCCACTCACCTGCAAGTTGAGGACTGTTTGCAGCTTGAGCCATCCCTTGTGACCGCAAGATGCTTTGTTCGTCAAGCAGACCTCCAGCGCCCGGTTTCCATGTCGTTTTCTTTCGGAGAGGTGGCCCTTCAAAACCAGAGGACCAAAAAGCGAGGCGCCCCTTTTTGCCCATGAAAATCCGCTCAGACCCAGTTTGGGCGACCCCGGTCAAAGGCGGTGAGCGACCGAAAGACCTTGGGGGAGTGCCTGGAGAGCGGCGGAAGGCACCTGGGGTTCCAGCCGGCAGCTGGAAGACCAGACTGGATCCGGTCCCTCTATGGGTGACTCTCCTAAGTCCTATCAAAAAAAGTCCACAAACCACTGGTACTCTCCTTATAAGTCCTATCAATAAAATGATAAAAATCCAGTCTGGCGGTCTTAACCTCTCTCCGGATCTAAAGTTCCATAAACCACTGGTCAGATGCCAACCTGGGAGGGAAAACCCCCCAGAAAACAAGTCAGGCACACAGACATGCTGTGGATGGGTTTGATCCAAATCCAGAAATCGATTTTACCACCGAACTCAGAAACCCAAGGGAGTGATTCGATTCCCCAACGCAAATGCCAGCCATTATGGTTGCAACCATGGTTTCATCTCGTGGTGCTGGATTTCGTCCATCCACAGTACCCCTGGTACCGCGGAAGGAGCCCAAAAAAAGGGGCCGATTTCCAAAAAAAACAAAACAAGGGGGGCCGATTTCCAAAAAGGAGAGTTGCCTTGGTGGTGTCTTGGGTTCCACATCTGGGGAGTAACAAAAAGGGGGGTTCGGGTCAACAAGGCTTGAGAAGGCCTCCCTTGAAGCTCCTAGGACCGTTCCATCAGCGACCTGTTGGGAGCTTCCATGTTAGTCTTAGGGAGAGTCATTCCCAAAGCCGGGTCCTTGTTGTGGTAAGTTGCGATTGATGGTTTCCTTTGTGCCATGGTTTAGGGATTCTACCCCTTCATCCCCCCCTCCCGATTGAATGAGGTTGACCAAGGCCAAAAGGCGACGGTGTAAATGGGGCCAAGCAAGTCGGACCAAAGGTATTTGCATGATCGCCCCCAGGAAAGGAGCGGTTGAATCCCGTTAAGAAGACTCGTGATCAACTGGTGATATGAACGTACCAAACGGGGCGGTCATGCAAGTAGTTGGGCTGGCAAGATGATCAAAGTACTCCGGGTTCGGGAGTCTTATGTCCCATTAGGTCCCCTTTTGGGTGGCTCAAACGGTGGCTCAAACATCGCCGTTTTTGATAAAGATAGTCTTTGGTGGGGTGAGTGAAGGGGATCGTCGGCCAACAAGTGCATCTGAGGTACATCCACGTCTCAGCGGTGCTTTACAGGCTGGCGGAGATGGTGGCTCAGCTACAGGTGGCCGGCGCGTTGAGATGAACATATCCTGGTGGGTTGCTTGGATGACGCCACTCTGGTTTAATATCCCTGGTTTGGAAGTCCCCTAAGTGGGTTACTTGTATGGCAGTTCCCACCCGGGCAACTTCGCAACCGGGAAACATTGTCCACTGAAGTGACGTGTCATCTGATCTCTGACCCTTCAGACCTATCCCAAAGACTCCTGGAACCCCCAACGACACCCCGATACACTGAGCGGCGCCCAGTGGTCCAGTTCAAGGGTTGCAGGTTTGAGTTTTGATGGTATACCTCATTTTCTTGTGGTTTTAGACGGAACTCAACAGGAACACCATTGGGATCCCCTAAACACAAGACAGACCCAATACTCAGCAAGTAGTAACAAGGGCAACCCTACAATATACCGCAGCTTTCTAGGAACTGAAGCACTGAGAGGGGTTTGTGTTATGCGGTTGGTGCGGTTGTTGGTCGATTTACCAAAGGGCTTCAGCCGCCCAAAGGGGTCGAGCATCGCCAAGGATTCAAAGAAAGGACCTGCACGGAATTGATCTTTACATACCGGGACCGACGCTGGGATAGACCTAATAACTGAACATTTGGCTTAGCCATCAACCCGAAAATTGGGGTTGGCGGGGCCGACTTCTGGGTCCAAGGTTGGTCCCTAAATGATTGATATACATATCTAAGCCACTAGACAGTTGGACCCTCTGAGTGGGGGATGAGTTCAATTCACTGATATACACTTACCTGGCAGTCGCATCTGAGGAGGTGATGCACGAGTTCTGGTGGAACCGGCCCTCGGGCGAGGCGTTGCTCATCGAGGAGGTATTTGGTGCGAAAGGCGAGTGGATGGCCAATATCCCCAGCGACGTCCCGTAAGTGACTTTTATGTAGGATAACGTCCCCTTCAAGGAAGGGTGGACTCAGCTCGGGATATCAGTCACTTCATTACTAAGTGGGACCAGTTCATATCCCCAGTGAGTTTCCCGCGATTCATATGAAATGAGGGGTCACTCTCAGTTTAAAATCGGTTTTCCGGGCGTATCGGATTTGGCCTAATCGAGGAATTAACTAATGTAAAAACTAGCAGGCGTTTTTTTTTGGGGTACCCGTTCATTAAACAAATTCAAAAAAAAGAACAACAAATGGAAGCCGCCCTGTTTGGGGCTTTCCCTAATTATGGCTAAACAACTGCCGACATTTTGCTACGATCACAATTCATCATGACCATGACTTAAATCGGATATATAGTATTAGAATCAATCCGGCTTCTATAGTAGGATCCGATATTGTGTACCTGCCGCTTTTGGGGGTCCAAACGATCCCGTCAGAAGCGTCATGGACGTTCACAGACTCTACTTGGACGTTTGTCCCATTTGGCAAGTGGTCAATATCCACAGATTGCAATTCTGTCAGATAGTCTCGAAAACACATCTGCTACCCCCCCCCCCCCCCGCACAAGCCTTTTTGTAAATGCTGTTTGCGGCTACGGCAATTGCCAGATGCGCAGTAGCACGTTGTTTCTTGTTGTTTCTGGATTTTCCTGCAAGCGACCGACCAAACAGGTGTTGATGTTTCCATGGATGCTGGGCAACTGGGCAAGAGGGGTAGGAATAACCGCCAGTGGCGCTTCCAAAGTTGCAAAGAAACTTTGGTCCATGTTTGATGCCATGTTGCCTTTGGGGGGGAGTAAGTGGTTAGCAATCCAGGTTGTAACCCATTGCAACAGGGCCAACTCCGCTAAGGGGAACTGCGAGTGGGCCAGTTTGGTCAATTACCTCTGTCTGGGTCCAGCATCCAAGGTCAGGCACCCCCATACACCCCTGACTGGTGTTTGTTTCATTTGGCCTTATTTCCCTTTGCGAATTGAGCCCGTTAACCCTTGGGTTGGTTCATTGGTTGCAGGGGTCCTTGAAACTAGTCGCAAGGATAAATCAATCTAAGGTGGAGCAAAGGCTTCCTTGCCCCTTTCTCCTTGCGGATGGGTCCGGTTGGTTTGAAGTGTCGCGTGTCCTAGGTCTCTTACCTCCAGGTTTTACATGATGGTTTTCCCCGGCCACCCTCACAACCTTCCAGCTGCTTACACATGTTGTGTGTTGATTTTCCCCCTGGTTCTACAGCAATTCCTCTATTTTTCGGGGACTTCAACCGGAAGAGTCGCCAGCAGCACCCACCTTCGGCCGATATCCACCCAACCCAGACACGTCACACGCAGGCCGGCAGGTGAGCAGCCCAGAATGGCTGCACCCCTCCGGCAGCCTGTGCGTGCCTGCGGTCTGCAGCCCCTCTGCCGAATCGAGCGAATCGAGCTGAGCTTCGTAGCGTGGGTCGTGGAGCAAAAAGAAGAAGAAGGGGGGGGGACAGAGGTTTTTGTTGGCGCTTTGCTTGAGTTTAGTATGATACAAGTGCATTTCAGCTGGTTTGTTTGGAGGTCTGGAGACTTGCGCCTGTATCAACTTGCAGAAGGGTGGGACAAAAACTGCCCGAGGCCCCGAAAATTAGAGGCACGCGCTTCCCCGCCAAGCGTGAAGGCCTCGTTTGGCTCTGGGCACGAAGGTCTTTGAGGCTGAAGCCCTGACCTTTGTCGACCCGGTCTTGAGGCTGTGGTTTGCGTGGACGAGCCACTGGTTCTCATTTTAGAGGTACGCTCAAAACCACCCATCTAAGGATGATATCCTCTAAATCAGCTGGAAGTTGTGATTTTCGAGGTTTCCGGTTTGCTTCAAAAGGGATGCTAAGGCTTAAGGGAATCATCCCACCGGTCAGTGGCCAAAATCTATCTTGAAAAGGATCCTCTTCTAAGGCGAGGAGGCCATTGCTGGCTGGTTCGCGGGAATCGTGGACATTGGCCAGCGATACATCCGGCCCAGCTACAAAGAGCTGCTCGGCGGATGTCAACTATGCGTGCGTTGTTGTGGGGGTACCCGTTCCCTGGGTGAAGGGGGAATTTTGACAAGGGACACCACCGTTTGTTTTGGGGAGAGGGGCGAGTCAGAAGTCAGAAAGCAAAGTCAGGAAACAGGCTGGGTCGTGTTTGTTTTGGGGTCTCCCTGTGTTGTCACATGTTCACTGATTCGGAGCCATTCCAGGGCCAGTACAGGCCAGGAGCTTCCAATGGCCCCAGCAAGAAGGCTTAGGTTTGGGTACCAGACGTCAAGATTGGACGGCAACCTTGGACCATGTCTTAGTCTTGGTCTGAACAAGATGGTGATCTAGAACCGTCTATTTGTGCAAACCCACCCAAAAAAAGTCGAGGTTGCCCGTGTCGTTGGAGCTCATGGGTTGCTCCAAGCCATGACCAAGCCAGAGTAGAACGGTGTCATTTTTCCCCACCCGACAGGAAGGGGTTGTTAGATTTTATGTTGGAATCCGCGTTTGCGATGCTTCTACACCACGCTCCCACCCAGTATCCCGCCAGAGCAGCTCGCCAGTGGATCCCGCCGAGTATCCCGCCAGAGCAGCTCGCCAGGGGATCCCGCCAAGTATCCCGCCAGAGCAGCTCGCCAGTGCATCCCGCCGAGTATCCCGCCAGAGCAGCTCGCCAGTGGATCCCGCCGAGTATCCCGCCAGAGCAGCTCGCCAGTGGATCCCGCCGAGTATCCCGCCAGAGCAGCTCGCCAGGGGATCCCGCCAGAGCAGCTCGCCAGGGGATCCCGCCGAGTATCCCACTAGCCAGTGGATCCCGCCGAGTATCCCGCCAGAGCAGCTCGCCAGTGGATCCCGCCGAGTATCCCGCCAGAGCAGCTCGCCAGGGGATCCCGCCGAGTAATTATCCCGGCAGAGCAGCTCGCCAGTGGATCCCGCCGAGTATCCCGCCAGAGCAGCTCGCCAGGGGATCCCGCCGAGTATCCCACTAGAGCTGCTCGCCAGTGGATCCCGCCGAGTATCCCGCCAGAGCGGCTCGCCAGTGGATCCCGCCGAGTATCCCACTAGAGCTGCTCGCCAGTGGATCCCGCCGAGTATCCCGCCAGAGCGGCTCGCCAGTGGATCCCGCCGAGTATCCCACTAGAGCTGCTCGCCAGTGGATCCCGCCGAGTATCCCGCCAGAGCGGCTCGCCAGTGGATCCCGCCGAGTATCCCACTAGAGCTGCTCGCCAGTGGATCCCGCCGAGTATCCCGCCAGAGCGGCTCGCCAGTGGATCCCGCCGAGTATCCCACTGCTCGCCAGTGGATCCCGCCGAGTATCCCGAGCTCTCGCCAGTGGATCCCGCCGAGTATCCCGCCAGAGCGGCTCGCCACAGTGGATCCCGCCGAGTATCCCGCCAGAGCAGCTCGCCAGTGGATCCCGCCGAGTATCCCGCCAGAGCAGCTCGCCAGTGGATCCCGCCGAGTATCCCGCCAGAGCAGCTCGCCAGGGGATCCCGCCGAGTATCCCACTAGAGCTGCTCGCCAGTGGGTCCCGCCGAGTATCCCGCCAGAGCGGCTCGCCAGTGGATCCCGCCGAGTATCCCCTGGAGCTGCTCGCCAGTGTATCCCGCCGAGTATCCCGCCAGAGCGGCTCGCCAGTGGATCCAGAGCGGCTCGCCAGTAGATTGCGCCGAGTATCCCGCCAGAGCGGCTCGCCAGTGGATCCCGCCGAGTATCCCGCCAGAGCTGGCCAGTGAATCCCGCTGAGTATCCCAAACCACAATGTTTCTCGGTCTTGACAGGGGAGCTTGTATCATTCCTTTGGGTTTCTGAGCGCTGGATTTTGCAACCATCCGCAGTATGGTAAAGTTCGCCGAGCTGGCAACCTCCAGACCTCAGGTCAACTTTGTGAGCCATTTCTGGGTCACGGACGAACGGGTTCGTGGTGGCCTTACAAAAGGATTACCATATGTCTTGATGTGGGGTGGCTTAAGCACCATCTTTTGGGTCGTTCTGAAAGGGTTGAAATGAGATTCCACGTGGACATGAGTTTATGAGTCTCTTTACTCAGGTTTTGCCCCGAAACCACCCCAGAGTGGAACACAGATTTCTAGTTTTCTGTTCACCTGGAGTCTCCTTCTGACCCTGTAAAAATGGCCCTTTATTTTTGGTAATGGAGACCCTAGGTGCATGGAGACCCTAGGTGCATATTTCATTAAACCCCGGGGCCCCCGGTGATTTCAGGGATGCGAACACCATCCTGGATGCGAAAACCGGTCCCGACGGTTTTGGTCCCAAGGGATGCCCTGAAGGCTCAACGCGACCCACGTGCGCACCTCCCCCCTGCCGGCGCGGCGGCGCCCATATCCCCGATTTGAAGGCGCGATGCATTTGGCGGGCTACCCGGAGTCTCCATGACCCCTTAAAAAATGAGGTCATTACCCAAAGTCAAGGGGTCATGGACCCATTTTAAAAGGGTCAGAAGGAGACTCTAGGTATGCTCGTTTTCACGGCCAGACTTAGTTCGCTTTCGTACTGTATGGACTTCAAGAGGGGAAGGGCTGGGGTATCCCCTAGTAACCCCCCCCCCAAAAAAAAAAAACTGATCACCGGCTGATGCTTGGCTGTCTTATCATAGTGCTTATGCTTGCTACACTGGTATCTTTGGTGGTAACCACGGTTTCCTATCCTCTAGGTTTTACGTGATAGCGACAGCTGCAAGAGCAGGGTCAGCTTGTCCTTGTAGCTTGTTGATGGGGCCTTGGCTGCGCTTTGCTTTCCCTGTGACTTGTTTGGAGTTCTCCTATGACACAGCCCCATTTTGGAGGTGAACCTGGGCTCGAGTGCTTGAGGCCAAAGGCAACCAATCATTTCCCATTTGGGTGTCTCTTTTAAATAGACCTTCAAAAATGGATTTTGGTTTCCCTTTTGATCTCCCTCCAAAATCAACCAACAGAGTTTTGGACGCCTTTTCCCCGACATGGTTGTGAGTCTTGGCTTCGAACGGCGCCAGACACAGTATTAATTGTTCATCGATTAGCATGGGTCAAAGGGTACTGCGGCGATCATTTGAGCAATTACCAAAGGTTCTGCTTGGACCAGTGCCCTAGCTAAACACGATCTGACTGCTCAAGTGAAACGTGGATGGAGAGAATCGCGTAGAACCCACTTGTTAGCACCCACTTGGGGTCACCCACTCGGCTGATCCGACGCAAGGCTCATGGATCATGTACCGTCCTGGAGCCGACCGCGAGCTCAGGCACGCCGCTTAGCCCAGGGCTCGCCCTTTGAGGGGGATGCCAGCCAAGCTGGTAAAGTTGACCATCGACCCACGGAATGCTTGACCTTGCTATACCTTGAGCCAATGGAAAATGGCACTCCAAAACGACCAGGTCACTCAACAGCCCAGTAGATGGCTTTTATTTGTTGGCACTGACAGTGGCCTCGCTTGCAATGAAGCCACCTCGCTTGTCTTGCTTGAATTAGTTTCCCGAATTGCCCTGTTGGTGTTACAGGCTTCCCGACATTCCACTGAGCGGTTTCAAACATCAACTTCAGTGCATTTGAGGAAGGTTTCCTTTGGTACTACGGTGATGTTTGTAGGTTGGAATTATCGGGAAGCCTATACTCGGGTGCTCCTTTTTACAGAAAACATGCTTGACCTTGCCGGGAAGATGTGCGCCCCCTGTGTCAGTGCAGGTGTCCTTTTGATTTACTAAACCCGGCACCCACGGACCATCAAAAGGATAACCTTGCTTACCTGGATGTTCAAGCTTCACTTTTCGGGTTCCACCTAAAAAACATAGTTATATAAGTTATATAGTTTTGCACACGGGGCAGTAGGTATCACACAGATCCCAGGTGCTTTTCTGCGAATGTTCGGTGCTTCCAGGAAGCAGCAGGATTTGCAGTCCTACTACGAGTTTGTCCTTACCGAGCACAAGCCTTGGAGGTCCACCTTCCGATTGAGTTGCCGAGCGCCGCGCCGCGCCGCCCTTTGGTCTTTTCTTTGGTGTTCCGACTGAGAATGGAACCTTATGGAACCCTACGGAATTCTGTGAAACTGCATGGAACCCAATGAAACCGTGTGGAACCCTAACGAGGTTTGCTTTTTTCAGGAGGGTCACTGGACAACTGGGAGTTGAGTAAAGGTTTTCCACCAAGGGTTCCCCAGTCAACATCAGTTGTAAGTGGATATCCCTTTGTTTGTGCTAGTTGCCTGTTGCCTCCCCATCCAATTAAAAGTGGGGTTCAACTCACAGATGTCAATGAACTTAGTTGGAAAGTTCTTACGACTTTTTCCTTTTTGACCCCAACAAGTTCGACATATTTTCGGCCAGTTCAACTGGGATTCCCGAAAAATCGGCTTCTTAACCCTGTCCCGTCATTAATTAGGGGTTCTACTTCACCTTTTTCAGGGAGGGGGGTGGGGGGGCTGAACAGAACAGGCCTCGGCATTTTTCCGGCCTCGACCTCGCCGGCACTCGGCGCTGGGCACTCGGCAGGCAGCTCGGAGTGTCCAGAAGGACCTGGGGGGTGCTGCTGGGCCTGGTGGTCCCGGTGGCCTTCGCCAGCCTCTTGTACCTCTGCGGGGTCCAGGAGCCGACGGGGGAACCCAGCCAGGGACGGGAAAAACAGCTGGACCCATCCCATGCATTAAGAGGATGGGGGAAAAGGGGGGGGTCCCTTTGGCTTTTTTTCTTCCCGAGTTTTGGAGGGCCTAAACTCAGGTAACCCCAAGATTGGTGGTTTGGATTGGTGGTTTGGATTTGGATTTGAACCCTGGTTCTTGTAGAGGGTAAATGGGAAACTGTCCCAAACTACCAAACCACCAATCCAAATCACCAATTAGAGGGAAGCTGATTAACCCTCTGGTCGATTAAAATAGAAAGAAACTGGAGCCAGCCTTTAGGGAACCAAAAGGAAAATGGCTGGTTGCCTATAGGGTAACTGGAATCCACTGGGTTAGTTTTAGGACGTCACTTTGATATCCGAAGTGTTAGGGCTTGAGAAGCCTTTCGAATGGGAGGATGAATATGCCCACTGACTGTCATGGACGGGAACTTTCAACCAAGGGACCCTACACACACACACACCCAAGACCCTCCAAGGATTAGGGGTCGCGCCTTATTCAGACATTGTGACCCAACAAGGCCAAATGGGTGTGTCCTAGTTTCAGCCCTCGGTCCCCTTTGTTGGTGTTTGAAGGCTGGAAGCCAAGCACCGAAACGATTTTTTGTCTGGCGGGGCGACCCTTGGGCAGCGGGGTCTTTGGGATTGCGCAGGACGCAAAGCCCTTGGCTCTTCAGAGCAACCTGTGGCGTCTGGGGGAAGCAAGGGCCAAGTGCTTCGACGTGCGGCTTGGCTTGGGGGGAAGGGGGAGTCCAGGACACCCACAAAGGAGCCCAGACCTGGGGTGGGATTCTATGTTCATAGGTGCCCTTTTTAGCTTTGGATTAGAAATGGACGGTTTCCACTGGTTTAGATTGGTTTTATTTAGCAGGGCCATCTATTTTTATTCAAAAGGTCGCCTATGTCCGTGGTTCTCCTTTGAGGTGGGTTCCGCTCAACTTGGCTTTGCTCGCTTTTTGACGCTTTGCCCCACTGGAGGACTGGCAAGGCTGTCGGATTTGAGCCACAGGGTTTCCCCCTCAAGAACATGTGCCCGCAAAAAAAGAGAGGATCATCATCATCATCGTCGTCGTCATCATCATCATCACCATCATCATGGATCGGAATGTTGGTTCTTGTCTCCAGTATTTCGGGTTTTGGCTTTGCAAGGGGCTTTGGGGCAAGAACTGTGCCAATTGGCGCGATTGCGCTCACAGAAAAGGGACATAAGAAACCACACCGAACCAACTAGGGGTTTTAACACCTACTTTAACTACCCGCTATTTTAGGGTATGACGTCGACCCCTGGCTAGAAAAAACTCTAATTCCAAATATGCCCCTTGAAAAACGCGGGTATTTGTAGCCGGGGCGAGACTGGGGTCATTATTTAGCATCATTTTGACTGCTTCTGGGGGTATCAATCTCAGAAACTGTGGTTTACCTTCAACCTACCACTTAGGAGTTAGGAGGCTCTGCCCAAATAGTGTCTGGAGTGTTTTTTTTTTTTTTTTTCCGCAGGTTGCTGTTCGGCATACCACCTGAGCATAATTTCTCAGGCCCTGCAACCCAACATGGCCGTTAGTTCAATCCGATGATTTTCCAGCCAGGGGGGGTCTTGTTTTGGCTTTAGGGTTCCTGCAGAATTGTCTCTAGGTCTCCATGTCTCCTGGCTTTAGGTGTCGCATCGTAACCACGGTGGGCATCATTGCCACGCACGTGGCTCGGCAAATACCCGCGACCGAAGGGACCTTTCCGTGCCCACTGAAACTTATGTTGGGTGTTCTTTTGGAAGAATTGTTCAAATGGATTTTGACATTTGTTTTGGTTTGTATTCAAAGGGAAGCCAAAAGCAGAACCAACCATAGGGCACCGATCCCTATTTTGAGAAGCACCGATTCTCCGGCTCGCTGGTCTAAGTCTGGCCAAGCTTGGCGGCTCCGGCTAGTAGGATTGGTAAGGAGACGACCAGGAGACACCTTTTTTGGAGCGGGGGGGGGGTGAAAGGAAGAGAGGACAAAACTGAAATCACATCTTTAGTTTTCATGTTTTTTGCCGCCGCGGAGATCCGCCGTTTCATGCTGAATGCCATGTGTGTTTGCCTCTTCTTGTATGGGTTATAACTCCAAGGTGAAGCATCACTATCCGTTCCCCGCGCCGGAAGAGGGGGACGGCGTCTTCAGGTACTTGGCCAACGTCATCGAGGCGCCTGGCTAAGACTCCGGAAGCTGGCGATTGGGCTCAGAGCCAAGCAGGCCCTAAAGACCTAAACAAGATTTTTAGCTGAGGTCATGTTTATTCATTTGAGGTCTTTGGGGTCCAAGAGACCTTCTATTTCCGGCCTTGGGCTCCACAGGGATGTGGAAGCACGGATGTGGGTGTGATTCCAGTATCCGTTTGGTGTCCGGCGAAGTGCCCCGGTATCCAATGTTAAAGGAGATTGCATTGGGTAAGGTTGCATATCACAGGAGGTGGCCTTGTGGGTCAGTTTGGTTTAACGCAGACAGGCTCCGCAGGTTGCAGTTTCGTCCTCATCATTTAAGCAACTGCCAGTAGAATCCATCTATGTGTCCAAGAAAACACCCAACACCCCCCCCCCACCGCCACGACCCCCTGTTCCACTTGTTGGCCAAGCCTTGCGTGGTCAGGGTCCCTGGAATGAATGTTCTTGTTTATGTGTTCGTTGTGAAACCCTTGTTTAATCTGTTGTTGTTTTTTTGGTCCGGAGTTGCTTTTGTTTTTTGCGCATTCTTGTTGCAGCCGGGAGGCGTTGCACGTGAACCACCTGGTGGTGATGCTCATGGTCTACCTGCTGCTTCGGCACTTGGACGAGGGGCGTCGCGACTTGTTGTGCCGCGGACCCTTCAGCTGGCTGTGGCGGGTGGCAACGTACGCGCTGAGACGGTGGGCGCTGATTATGTCATGGGCGCCTCGGCAAAGCAACGGTGCGGAATGCACAGCATGTTAGGGCATCTCAAGGGAAACAAATGGGAACCAATAAGGCTTTGTGTGAGCCTTTTGCAGTTGGTACCTTTTCGGGGTCTGGGTTGAAGGGACACCAAAGGGCTATTTTGACACCTACCCAAACAACCCCGGCAGACGTGACTTCTGGCTGACCCAGCAACCAGGGCAAACCATCTATGGTGTGGCTTGCCTGGAACTGGGGAAGTTGCCGCACATGGAACCCCATGGCATTTCCAGGGGAATTCTCCAAACATGTGCTACCCATTCATTGGGTATGCCTGTTTCATGTTGGCTAGATTGTAACTCACTATACCGTGAGTGCCATAGAAGTCTGCTGCTATCTTTGGGTTGGCTGGGTCTCTTGCCCTCACGCCAAGCCGTGGATTGAGCCAAGACGCTTCGGGTAGATAAAGGTCTGCAAAGGACAGCCACAGATTGGAACAAGACCTGCAACACCACTCCCTTTTGAACTTCTTGGTTTGGGTAGATCTCTTTGATACAAGGCAGGCTTTGATCCTGTCTCTGGATGTTGCCGCGTAAAGAAGGCTGTTGGCACTGCTAGGGCGTGTGGAACGCATTCTGGCGGACACACGAACCCTCAAAGAGAAGTGACGGTTTCCCAGTTAATCACCGCAACTTATGTTAGCCAATGGCCTTGTTCGCGATCCCTGGTTTTAGCCTTGCTAGGCTCCGGAGGCGTTAGCGCTGCGGTTCTGTCCAACGCTCAAAACCTCAGTGGGGTTGACCGAGCCCTCACCTGGTTTTGGTTCTCAGTGCCTATGTTGGCAGGTCACCCCAGAGAGTAGACGATGGTTTTGGCGTCTTCTTTTTTTGCGTTGTACTTTTCAGCCTTGTTCTATCCTTTGGCTACGGATCTCAGAGCAGGGGCAAACCAACGTCCCCTACTGCAAAAACCATCAACCCCTGACTGAAAAGCTGGTATTTACTTCTCAGCTATGGAAAAGCTGATGATTGAAGATATACACAACAAAAAGCGCGGGTATTTGGAGTTCGAATCCATCCATGGGGCCCTCGAGCTTGCACCAAGGCGGGCCTGTGGCTGTACATATACGTGTCGGTGCTGATTAAGGAGGTGCCGATCCCGAACATAGGCTGGGCACGGCGGTTTTTGCTTGTTGTTTTTCGGTTCCTTTTGTAGTATTTGAAGTCGTTCGCTTGGTCGCCACCATACAAGGAAATGGAATCACTATCATGGGTCCAGGACCCATTTATTTTGGCTAATGACCCTATTTGTTTAGGGTCATGGTAACCTGCCAAAGTGAGTTTCTGGATTTGCACCGGCTCACCCCCCCCCACCCCACAAAAGTCTTTTCAACTGGCCGAACTGGCGCGGAACCTGCCCAGATTCCTGCCGGAGCGTGCATAAAGCAACCCGGGCCCCAAACTGGGAAACCAGCCACATCCAGGAACTCAGGGACTTCTTGCTTACTCCCCCTACAGATTAACATGGAACCAAAAAAGGTGGTCGCCCACAAGGAATCCCTATCAAAGGATGGCCTGTTGGATTCCATGCGAATCTGCAAGAGAGTATTGGGACTTATTTGGGAAATCGAAAGCCGTGGGAGTGTTTTTTCTCTCTCGGTTTCCTTTGGGTTTCCATCACTGGAGTGTTGTTTGTTCTCCTTTTTTTGAGGATACCGCAAGGTCTTTTGAAGGGAGACAACGGCAAACCGCCCACTCTTTGTTTGACTTGTGTGGCAGATGCAGGGTGACTTTGTGCAGCTGGAATAAGAGAAAGAACCTTCACACCATCAAGCAAGAAACCTGCAACAACAGCAGGCGCAAATTTCAGCTGTAAGGTTTTGCTTGCTAGCAAACGCCATCCCGTTTGTTTAAGCCGGGGTTGTCTTTTGAAGACTTACGCGTGCAAATGAGAAACATGTCTGGTCCAAATGAAAAGTTCCATGTGGCAATGCCCCGAAAGCCTGTAAGCCCGGTTGACGGCCTCTCATTCTGGACCCCGATAGGGGGCACTGGGTTTGAGTGAAACGATCGATCCACAGGTCTAGAAAAAGCAACCTGGCGTCCAACAAGTGGATCGGTTTGTCTCAAGGGTAACCTCCTGTCTTTGAGACGTGTAGCATCACCATGTTTGAAGCGTGGCGAGTGGGCCAGTCAGAGGAATCTCTGCCTTTCATCTTTTTGAGCCGTCAAAAGTGTCAATTTTAAACGAAACCCCCGGTCCATCGCAGCTTGTGAAGGGGAGATCCAGTGACCCTTGCTCAAAGCAGCACTTTGACTAGCCAATTTAGAGGATCCCTCTGGAAAGCAGGTTGCTTCTGTGCGTATGTTCAATTAACGATGTACCAGAGATCCGGCAAAAGGGTCCAGAGCATTCCCTGGACTGGCAGGTATTAGAGCTCGAGCCAGATTCCGACCAAACATCCCCCAAGGCTCCAAATGCTTTCCAAGGAGGTGCTGTAACTCCTCTAATCCCCCTCGAAACAATCACAACCAACCTAGTACGTTATAGCCATAGTGATAAGCCAACTAACCCCAGTTACTCCAGCTTTCTCCTTCTTTACAATCAACGTACACGGGTTGAACATCCTCAAAGGACACTCGGACACGGGATCACTCACCGAAGTAAGCTGGTAGGGAGGGCAAGGGCGGCCCCGCGTGAGATTTGAGCTGGGTGGGGATGGGTTCTTCTAGTCGACGTTTGTTTAAAACATCCAAAGCAGAGGGAATGCTCCCTCAAAAAGGACGGCCCCACAATGTGGTGTGTAATCATTCCTGACAGCTGTTTTTGTTAGGGGGCCCAACAAATGGAGGCTTTCCTCCTGGCTTCTCTTGAAAATCACCCTGAAAATAGGGTACCACAAAAATGACAGAGCCATTGGGCGCCCTGGACATAACACGCGCGAGGCAAGAGCCGCTTCCTGTACATATGGTTCTGGCGAATGCGTTCGGACCTCAGCATGTTTGTTTGTCCCTTGTGCATCAGTTTGGTTGGCGCTTGCTTTTAGCTTGGGTACTTGGATGGCCACCCCAGTTTCTAACTTGTTAATATCCCCAACTTGAGTCCCCCAAGTGGGAGTTGCCCTCCAAAAACTCAACTTAGGGGACTTGTTTGCCAGGCCAATTTAAGTGAGGCAGTCATCCAAGCAGTCTAAGGCATTTCCTGCGAAAAGAAGGAGCACCTGATCCCTAGCATCTTTTTGCTCCATGAGGCGCGGCTTTTCGACGGCCCATCTCAAGCTTCGATAGAATGTAGGTGTGTTCCCAAATAGGGGAACCCTCAAGCCTCAAACTGGGTGGCCCAATGTACTGAGAATGGGGTGAGCCCCGGGGGGAGTGGATTCAAGAGCCTGGGTTGGAGGTATTTGTCGACAAAGAATCAGTCGACCTTCTGGAGGGAGTTCCCCAAGAAGTGATCCGGGTTTCCTCTCAAATGGGGCAAGCCCAATCAAAAGCCACCAGAAGTTGATGAATCCCGGGTCATGAGCATAAAATAACATCAACATGAGCCCCAAATACAAGCATCCAACAAATCGAGGACGGGCTCATGAATTCTGGGTCAGGGGCGATCATCCGTGGCTACCAGGCTCATGTGCATGCATCACGTCCCAGAGACCCCTGGTAGAATCTGCGGCCAGGTAATGGGGACCCCGGATCTCAGTAGAACCCATCCCATTTTTTCGGGGGGTTGTTCCCTCCAAAAGTGATGAATCCGCACTAAACCCAGGTTGGCACCCCCCATGAATCAACCAAGGGGGGTCATTGGAGCTTATGGATCCGGGGTTCTCAGTACAGCCTCCCAAATTTTGGGCGTCCACCCTTTGAAACCACGAAAACAACATTGTTTGATGGTATTGACTTGGGTTTCTGAGTTTCTGAACGGTGGTGCGATTTCTGGATTTCGCAACCATCCGCACCACTCGGGCTGATCGTTTTCTCTTTTTTCCTCCGGCGAGGCGTCGCACGCCTATGAGAGCCCGTGTCATAATTTGAACATCTTCGAGGCGTGCTTTCAGCTGGATGCCCCTTGGCTCAGTCCGAGCACTTCAAGGGCTGACTCCATGGCCAGGCGTTTTGCATCTTGTTGTTCAATGCCTTAATACTGCCGATGGACGAAATCTTGCACCACCCGACAATCCCTGGAATGATTCGATTCCCCTGTAAATACCAACAAGCAATGGTTTCAACTATGGTTTCAAAGTGGTGCAGGATTTTGTCCATTCACAGTATTGACCCCAGAAAACAATCCCAGTTTATTGGTAGGGGGGCCCTGGAGTCAGTGGGGAACCATCACTGTTGGAGGGGAACACCCCCCTATTAATAGGACGGGTTTTTAATCCGGGGTCAACATGATTCGAAATCCAAACTTTGTGCATCTGTCTTGGGCACTGAGAAGCCTACTTTGAAGGGGGTCCAAAAGTTCGAACTTTTGTCTCACAGGACTTGGAGACATCAGATGACCAAAACACTTGGCTAGACAAGTGGTCAACTTTGAGTCGCCTGGCAGTGTGTACGTACTTGGATGACCAAGCCATAAGTGGCGAATATATCCAATGAGTAAGTTTCCGTGGGATTTACCCCCAGGGCACTTATTTGGGACTCAGCTAGTCGTCCGAGCAGGGTTCCTGACCTATGGAAGAAGTTTGATCTCAATTCGGTTCGTCGCACCACTTTGAAAGCATGATTGAAACCGCGGTTTGTTGGTATTCGCCGGTGAATCGAATCATTCCATTTGGTTTCCTAGGTCCCCCAGTAGTGCCCTTTTACCTTTTTTGGGGGGAGGGTTCCCCTGAAACTAACTAAAAGAGTCTTAATGGGTATAGGTCAAAATTAAAGCACCAGACCGCAGGTTTTCCCTTGTTCCAAAATGGATACCCATTCTTGACCCACAGCCAAGTGGTGTGCCATGGAATCATTTTTCCATCCGCAGCTTCCATCCGCAGCTTCGAGGTGCTGCTGATGGCGCTGCTGCTGATACTGCCAAAGCGCGGGAGGACTCTACTGGCGGCAGCTCGGGAGGCAACGTAGAGTTGTGGCTGTTGGTCACAAATAGGTAAAATGGAACCCTGGTAAGTGGAAACCTGGACCAAAATCTGCGGTCCCCTGTTGGTTTGATTTTGACCCACACCCATATTCCCATTTGGCTGTGGTTGTCAAAACCGTTTTGGGATCCCATTTTGGTTGGTTACTGAATTCACCACCCAGTTTAGAACCTATTTTAGTGGGGATTGGGATGTTCACCGGGGGTACGGGATTTGCACCCATGGCCATATTCCCATTTGCTTTGCATACATACAGTGGATGGTCGCGAAATCCATTTCGCAACACCTTTCAGAAACCCTAGAATAATGATTCCCCTGTCTACATAAATGGTTTCCAATGGTTTTACAGTGCAGTGTCAGCGTTTTAGGGGATTAGGATAGCAGTTCGCATGAGCAATTGACTTTATTTGCAGAAGACTACAGTAAAGGCCGGGCGGACACATCCGTGGCGCGACTGAATTAGGTGCAAAGCGTGGTAGGAACATTCCCAAAACGAGGTAAGGGTTGGCGAACAAGTTGGGAATTGCTCATGAGGTTCAGTCAAGTATTTGAATTTCTCTATGAATATTGGCATTTATTGGGGCACACAATCTGGGGACTCATTGTGGTGAGACTAGTATTTTTGCCTCTTCCGCAGACGTATGGGTCCTTGGCACTGTGGGTTTTAGCTGTTAGCTTCTTTGGTAACGCTTGTTGTAGCAACCCGCGTTGCTGCTTTTCAGATTTGCTTGTTTGAGTCTTGTTTGTGTTTCTTAGTGGTGTTACCCCCTGCACATTTACGGGGGCAATAAGCGAAAACGGGTCCCTCAGAAAAGAAGACTCCTCTGAGAGTGATGTTGTTGGCTTGTCTGGTTCTTTTCATGCTTCATGGCAAAAAAACAATCAGCTCTGGCCACAGACCTGACGGGGAGTCACATAATTTGGTTTGTGACCTCGACTTCATTGGCTGGGGTCTCTTCCAGGTTTGCGACTGGACATACTGCACCCAGATTTGCGGGGGGGACCCGGCAAGCGCGCAAGCGGGCCAGCGGGCAAGCGCGGGTTTGGTGCTTCGGAGCCTCAGGCTGGTCTCTGGATGCCGGCGGCTTGGTGTCACACCGGCAAGATTGCGCCTTGGATTTGGATGGTAGGAGCTTTCCTTCCCGAAAGCTGGGGGGAGTGATGCCAGACAGCCCAGACGTTTGTGGACTCTTGGTAGGGAGGCTCCATTCAAGGGTCAAATAGCTCAAGCAGAAGTCGGGAGCCGAGGGAGATGCTTTGAGTCCAATGTCGATCGAGGCTTTCGAGACCGGCAGAGTCTTTTGAGCAGAATGCCGCTGTCATTGATTACGATGTTCCGGGGAAATGGCATCACGACAGGCCCATGAAGGCTCCACTAAACAAAACCCTCTGTTGTTGGATCGGCGAATGGTTTCTCATTCACCCGTAACGGCGCTTTTGTTTGTCACTCAGTGAATTTGCCCCAGCCCTACAGACTCCAAGCCGAGGATGACGATGGTCTCTACCACTCCCGGCCAAGGATGGGTCATTGTTGAACGAGATGCTGGGGTCGATTGCATCAGTCAAAGAGCAAAGAGAACTGTTGGGATTTGTTCAAGGAAACTCGAAAGGAAAGACGGATTTGCGACTAGGGCCGTCTGGGGAACTGCTTGGTGAATGCTTAGGGCGGATGGTTTCGTTCTTTGAACTTTTCCGAGGTATACCGTTGTTTGGAACTCAATTCTTGAACGCTGCGTCTGCTGTCTCACTTCCAGAGTTCCTGGCCTTTAAACGTTTTGGGAAGACCATTTTGGTGGTTTTGGGCAAAGGGGCTGATGGTGGGGGCTCCTCAATCTGGAGGCGTGCTTTCAGCATGTTCCCCACCCAGCAGGCAACGATCTTCCTGGCTTTGCAAGTGTCATTGTGGTTCCAAATGGTCAGTTTCCAGTAAAATACTGTGGATGTTTGCGAAATCCACTTCGCACCACCTTTCAGAGACCCTGGAATGATTCGATTCCCCCTGTAAGTACCAACAAGCAATAATTTACCATTGTTTCAATTTGGCGCGAACGGATTTCGTCCATCGACAATACATATATATATATATATATATATATATATATTGGGTAGCTTTGGTAATGTGTTTGTTTGGTTGATGTCATTTTCTGCTTTGTTCTCTCAGTTGCGACGGTTGGGCGCTTGAACCCCTCAAGAGTTGTCAGACTCAACTCATTGGATGTCTTTTGCTCCGTTGTTGCCCTTGTTTGCCCTTTTATCCTGCTGGATTTGATTTTGCCTTTTGCCCTCGAGCAGCCGAGCTTTCCGCGCGTGATCCTGTGATGAGATCCAAGCCGTCTACTTGGCACCTTCCTCACCGTGGGGGTTGTGTGAGGGGGGGTGGAGCTGGAGTTGAATCCACTCAACAGGTTATTACCATGCTTATAGCTGAGACACCCCCAGTTGGTTGGCATATCACTGAAACAGCCAAGCAGATCCTAGTCTGTCATGGACCCCCAAGGCTATGGGGAGGGAGGGCTATCCCTTATTAAGCCCTCAACAAGGCCTTACTAAGGGCTTATCCTTGGCTTGTCCTGGGCTCATTCAGGGATACCCCCCCCAATAGCCCCTGCGAAGATTCCATGAGACTGGGAGGATGCTGGAGTATTTGCCGGCTGGGCTGGCCACCATCGCACTGTACGGTCTGCTGCCGAAGCCCGCCGCTGATGCCTGGAGGCGGCGACGGAAAGCTGCGGCATTGGGCCAAATGTGTTTTGCTCATCCTGAGAAGAAGCCCAGGTTATCCCAGTTACCCAGTGGGTTGCTTGCTTTTTCAACTTTTTTGGAAGGGTGTCCCTTTAAACTCAACCAACAAAAAAAGGCTGCCTTTTTTTCCTATGGCCCACTGGGCATTTGAGTTATACCAAACATACCCCCAAACACAGTATTGTGTATTTGTGTTTCAACGCTAAGAAAACACATGGGCATGTGTCAAAATGAGAAGACCCCCCACCAAAGGTGGTTGTCCCTTTGGCTTCTCTTTAAACAGACCTGAAAAGAGTTGACAAAGATACGCACGCAAAAATATGCTAGCCCCCTTCCAAGGATAGCCTGCCAAAAAAAGGCCGGCTGAAGGTTCCACTTGGAGATCCCTTGAGAACTCCCAATGCCCCCCCATGTCCATCTCCTGGTTGTTTCACTGGCAATTGCTCCCGGCACCTGGGCTTTAAGACAAGCGGATTCAACTGAGGTTCTACTGCCTCTTTTTGTCGAGGTTACAATAAGAAGGCCTACAAAAGCCTTTTTATCCCCGCAGAAGCAACAATCAATGAGTGCCCTGCGCTGCTCAAGGGGAGTTTATCCATTGTTGCCGTTTCTTGTACCCAGGTTCCGAACGCAAGTCCAGGGCCCAAGGATACAATTGGGCCAGGCAAGCAATCACCCAACTGGGCGTGTCTTTCTTAAGGTTGGACCCCCCAAAAACATGAAAGCTTGGCTTCCTTTTGGTTGCCCTAAAGCCACCAACCCAAAAAAGGGGGGTACCAACTCCAACAAAACAACCGCCCCCAGCGACGTTCGCTGGCTCAAGCCATGCGCCATGCGGCGCATTCGCCTCGGCCTCGGCCTCGGCTTTGGCAGCGGCCTCGCACTGGTCCCGAGCTTTGAGGAGCGGTTCACCGGTTCGTTTGTTGGTCTGTTTTTTTTTCTTTTTTGTTCTGTTGTTCTGTCTTTCTGCCATTGTTCTTCCTCTCCTTCTGTTTTTGTCTGTTTTTGTCTTTCTTTGTCTTTCCGTCTTTCGGTCTTTGTCTGTCTGGCTTTTTGGCTGCCTGCCTGTCTGTCGGTCTGTCCAGCACAAATTAGATGTTGCAGCTCACTAAAAGAGAACTCCTTCCAGAGTAAACTGTATCAACCAGGAGCCTCCATTGCCCGGTGAAATGGAAAACACCTCTTGGGAGATGACTCAGGGTCAGGCCTCCCTATATGCTTTGGGTGTATTTAAGCATCATTTGTTTAGCCCGGCGAGTTTGGTTTGGTCTTGATGCTTTGAGGGTAACTCTGGGCGCGGGGGAAAGCCCTGCGAGTCCGAAAAGGGAGACTAGGTGGAAAGATCACTGTGCTTAACGGACATGGCAAATGCACTTCCCCCTACCCCGGTGCTGCCACGCCGCAAAAAGAGCGCCTGGGTCAATCAGGTAAGCCTAGAAGCAAAAATACCGGTGACCTGATAAAAAGCTGGACGCACTGGGCTAGGTTTTGTGCTTTATGATAAATGTGAAGCTGGAAGCACTGGGCTAGCTTTGTGCTTTATGTGATTGTCTTTTTTGTGTTCTTGATTCTGGGTTTTCTGCAGACTCCGAGTGTTGGCTGACGTCCAGTAGTTTAAGCAATTGTGCAGGTCGAAACTGGGGGACCATTCAAAAGGGGAAGTCTGGCCACCCATTTGAGCGAGGTATCTCTAGAACTTCAAAAGAAGACTCCAGGAGAATTGTTCAAGTATAAAGAAAACAATTGTGTAAACAGGGGCTTGGTACCTTGTTAGGTACCAAGGGATTTGTTTATAAAGCCGTGTCCTTCGCCTCCCCAAAAAAAATATAAAATAAATAAAATGAAATCAAAATCCCCCGCCCTTCCCCAAGTGCCAACCTATGTTGTTTGTGGTTGCCACTGGTTCATTGGGCATGAGCAGCGCAAGGGCAACCCTTTGGAACAAAGCTGCTCCAAACCCCAGAGCGTATCTGGGCAGAGCCCCCATAGCTTTCAGCTGTTCGGGAAGAAGCAGGGGAAGCACTTGGACGACAACTTAGGTGCTGAAGATCCCCAGTCAATATCCCCAGTCAAGAGTTGAGTCTCACCAAGTGGTTTCTATGTAGGATACGTCCCACTGGGACTCAGGTATATCACGCACGTACTAAGCGGGGTGGTCATGCAGGCAAGAGTGCAGAGGAAAATAGATGGTAGATGGCACAATGTCGTTTAGTCGTCCCTGTTACTCACAGAAAGGAAATTGTGCAATTGAATTTTGTCCAGGACACCCAACGTCAATCCCCCGAACGCCGCCGATTTCAGGAGCGGTTCCTGGCATGGCAGCAAACGGCCAAGAATGCGGAGGCGCCAACTCGCCCCCGGCGCCGCGGGAAAAATCTGCTCGGGCAAGGGGAATGGGCAGTCGAGACCCGGAGTAAGGGGTACTTGGATGTTCAACCAACGTCGTGCAAGGGTACTTGGAGGTTCAACCAGCTTGGCAAGTAGGTTGCAACCATGGTTGGTTAGGACCTCCTGTCGTTGGTTGAACGCCAAGTAGAGCCTGGAGCAATCTCGCCGCCCTTTCAGTTGTTTACATGGCTTGGGATAGACCACTTGAATAATTTCGGATTAGCCCCGGACAACCCTATACTTGTCAGAGGACCCCTAAAAAAGATCTCATTCCCATACCCAAAGGGAACCACCCCTGAGGAGTAAAGTCCTCCGGAATCCGAAGTTAACATTGCACGGCTTCGATTGTGAATCAATTTCAGATGACCCCAGGTGCCCAGTGGCATCCACTTGTCACTTGTCCCTTATTTTGGGAAGGTTCGTTCCATTTAAATTCGACCAGCAAAAAGGGTGCCCCTTCTTTGTCAGGGCCATTGGGCTCAGCGAAGGGAGTCTGAAGTAGGATCCTGCGAATCAGAACCTTGTGACCTTGTGGCAACCAGGCTTCTCCTTTTTGGACAGTGAGCTAAGGGTCTGATCGATGGAGATCGATTGCTCCCTAAGACAGGCAACCAACTTGTTGAGACCTGGAGTGGGCAGGAAACATTGTAGTTTCACGGCCACTTCAACGGGGCTCCAAGGCATGCTTCAAACGGAATGCCAGTCGACACCGCCCCTCTACTGCCTACTTTGAGGCTCGCCCGAATTTCTCTTGGGCAAGATACCTGGACTTGATTTGAGGCCCAACCAGCCGTCCGGAGCAAGGAAGAATGGGGGCATTCTGTGGAGGCTTTGAAGTAACACAAAAAAGTTGGCCGTATTCAGTCAAGACACGGCCATAGTTCCTAACTCACTTTTGAGATTCCGGACTGTAGTCACTTTTTGGATCTGGGCTTAACCAACCCATATGGTTTCTTTGGGCCTCCTGGATTCCTCAGTGAGAACTATCAAGTTTTGACCTACTCACGTGGCTTGAGCAGGCAAGTAGTTCCTTTGAGTTTGCCTGCACTCAAAAATGTAAGCACCCCAGCACATTTAGGGGTGAGTTCCTTTTGTTTTTTTCTGGCGGGTTTGAGGGTTTGACCTCCATGTATATAGAAGCTCAACTTTGTAGGCCTCGACTTGGGCCTTCACGATCTTTGAGGTTTGATTGGTTTGGCCGGACTCAAACAAATGTCAGCACTCAAACCATTTAGGGGTGAGTTCCGTTTCCCAGTTGCCCAGTGGTGCCCTTTTTTCCCCATGGCCACTGGGCATCTGAGTTTTTTATTGGGGGGTTGAGGGTTCATCGGTGTGGCAGGATGATTCTAAGCTACGTGGGTTGAGCCAAGCGACGGCCGACGCGTCGACTGAGGTATCTGGGCTGCACGGAGGCCGCCGAGGTGCGGGAGCGCACCGCGCTGAATCTGGCGCGGGCCTGGCCGGGCGGCGAGGCGTCAGGGACGGGGCTGGGTGGCTGTGACTTCACTTCCCCAGAATTAGTTCCCCGTTCTTATTTGTTTTTTTGGGGGCCCCTTTGTTTTCTACCAACCAGGCAAAAAAAAAAAGTGTTGTGCTGGGGTCCTAATTCCAGCCAAGTTCACACGGTCGTTTGAAACGGGCAAGACACGCTGGAGCAGAGCTTGCGCACAGAGCCGCAAGTGACATCGGCAGTCCCCAAAACAAGTGGCCGAATCTTTACTTTGACGCCACGCGCGCAGCCTGATTGGGGGCGGGGTGGGTGGGTGGGTGGAGTGTGTGACGGGGGGGGGTGCAAGTTACCCCCACAATTTAGGGCTTCAAAAGGGAAGAAAAGGAGAACTTGCAATGTTGAGGCTGCCGCTGTTTTGAGCGGTATTTTGAGACAACCTTGAGGTTTTTTTGAGGGTGCTCCGTTTGTTAGTTTCGGTTTTGATTGGTGGCTTGGAGTTTGGGGGTCGGTTTGCCGTTTACCCTCTACAAGAAGCGGGGGTTCAAATCCCAAACCAACAATCCAAACCACAAGGAAACCAAAACGGAAACCACCAATCTCAAGGGTCACCCTGTTTTGCCACATACCTTTTTAGTAATTACCCCAATTGCTCAGTGAAGTGACAAGGGCAACTGTTCCTTTTCTGTTTGGTGGATCAATGGGCTGTTCACAACAATTGTCAACCCCCAAAACGGGCAAGGGTTGCTTCAACGGTGCAACCAACCCAGGCCAACTGACTGCACAAACCAGGCGTCTCCAGCCCCGTATCCCGACTGATTCTCGTGGCAGGAGCGTATCTCAACAGATCGGGGGGTTCCCAGGGTACCACAACTACCGCAAGCTGCGCGCCAGCGCCAGGTGGAGGAATTCCGTGTGCCAAAAGAGTAAGCCATAGGTTTTTGCCCGCAAGTCGTGCGGATAGCCCAGACCTCCCTGAGTATCTGCTTGAACTTATATGCTTCCCCTATAAATGCTTTCCAGGGAACGTTCTGGTTTCCTTCGCTTCATTCACGGTGCTCCGATTTCTCTTCGGAAAGCTATCCGTAGGCGCGCCTCCCCCCCCCCCGCGGGCGCATGCGCGCGAATCGATCGC